CAAATGCTCATTATCCCTTGACTCAAAAAAATTGAAATCCTCTACTAAAGCTGCCCATAATCGTTTGCTTATCCTCATATCCATTTTCTTAAAGGATACTATTTCATAAATTACGAGGCAGTTGTATCTTCAAGATGCTGATCATTAGAATTTATTCTTATTTTTATTTCCCTCCAGGAATTTTTGGACGCAGTACAAATATTTTGATTCATTTATTAGCCAACCGATTTGGTAGCAAAGACCTGGATTTGAGATCCAGTGTCCTTTACGGGTCAATGTTAAGTACCATAAGATATGTGTTCTCAGCCTGTACACGTATGTGCCTTGTAAGTACCATCAAAGATTATGTGTTCTCTGTCCATTAAGGTTGATACACTTCCAAGATTTGCCGAAAAAAAACCTTCAGTATTCCGAAACTGCTTCCGCTTAAAATAAACAAGCTCTTGTGTTGATCAGGCACATTGTAAAATGTTTAGCACTTCTGACTGTGCTAGAGTTATCGACCTTTGACTGCGCAAATCAATTTTCTCAAAGTGGGCGGTACCGCCACCCAGGGGGCTGTGGGACAGTCCAGGGGCGGTGAACGCCCTGTGAGATTTTAGGGCACGCTTGAACTCTCAATGGGGGCGCTGGGGAATTTTAAAGGCAATATTTGTTTAACTCCAATTATATTTTTAAAGAATTAATAAATGATGTTGTGATTTTTTTGCGTCAAATAAGTGTCGAGGCATTACAACATGTTGTGTGTTTTCTTCCAACCACCAAGATCGATAAACACCTAAACAGTTTACATGACAAAAGAGACGAAGACTGTCAACTATGTTTGTTATGCATTCAATGAAAACGACTTTATTTGCGTGCATCGTATGGTAGAGGCCTATCATTTCATTTTTTTAATGCCAATCGGGCAGGTAACATAATAATCGGCTAAGAGCTCTTCTTACCAACTATGATTTATGTTCTAATTTCATGGACACCCTATTTAAAATATGGACGATTAGTTCTAGAGCTATGATTGGCCATTTCTGACGCTCTGTGTTGATAGGAGGCATGCAGATTTGGCTGCTGCATTCTGATAGGGTAATAAGGGGAGAGACTGCAATCAGGTTAGCACAATATAAAATGATTAAAACAAAATAGGGTTAAACCTGAAAAAAGGAACGCAACAACACAACGAACGTGTCGGCAGGAAGCCTTCGTCAGCGAACAAAACAGAAAAACAGAATAAAATTAAAAAATAGCCCTTAGCAGTTCATTTGCTGCCCACGGATACTACTTCTAAACTAAGTGCTATTTGTTACTGTAACTATAGTTACTGTTATGATTGATTATTAATAATGTGATGTGATTTTAATTGTTTACCCATGTCTTATGCACTGTATTTGTTATTCTCATTTCTAGCCAGTAAGTAATATTTTGCCAGTAAGTAAAATTTGGCCAGTAAGTAATATTTGGATCATTAATTAATAGTTGAACTAGTAAGTCATAGTTCAGTAAGAATGAAGACGTAATTAACAGTTGAGTTTACTACTGTAGAAGCTAGTACAGTCAGTTAGTGGAGTCCGTCGTTAGGGTCAGGATAACGCTGATCTCCTATGAAACGAACCAAGCTTGGATTAGCTCTACTACTACGAGAATAGCAGAGACTCGCCAGAAGCTGTGTGTGTGGTTAGAGTCTACGCCCTCGTCGCAGTGCGAGTTAACAGAGACCGGTTACGTCACCGAGACGACCGCAGTGCGCCGTGATCAGTGACCAGATATAGAGGACAAACCAAATTTAAATGTGTGCGTGTTGGACTTGCCTTACAGAGGGCAGATCAACCAAACGCAACTTAATCCATGGAGAAATTATATTAGATCTAAGTATTAGATAATTAATTAGACATTGCTCTATATGTGTATGTGTGTCGTAATTCTGTTTACATTTAAATATTTATTTGTGGGCTGAACCACCGGTGTTTCTTAGTATAGTGATAGTATTAAAAGAAGTGAGAGCTGGTGAGATTGTCATTGAACGTGTGAGAGAGATTTATTTAGAGTACTTAATTAGCAAGATAATCATACCCTGGACATAGCCCTAGTGGCATTACTAATCTAACGTAGAGGCAGGGACCTTTCATACCCTAGACATAGCCCTAGTGGCATTACTAATCTAACGTAGAGGCAGGGACCTTTCATACCCTAGACATAGCCCTAGTGGCATTACTATTCTAACGTAGAGGCAGGGACCTTTCATACCCTAGACATAGCCCTAGTGGCATTACTAATCTAACGTAGAGGCAGGGACCTTTGTTTATAAAAACATAAACATCGACTATTATTCGTAGTCGAAGTATTATATTTGGGGGCTCTATTATTCGTGTACTGTAAAACCCCGAACATATATTTTAACCTCTGGGGGGAATATTCAACAGTCGTGCAGTCTTTAATTCATTGTCATGCGGCCATTAGTTGAGTTACTATTTTCATGGAGCAATTGCGTCATAATGGCATTGAGTCATAGAGTCATAAAGTATGAATCTTAACGTCGTGGTGTCTTTGAGTCAATGAGAATGAGGAAATGTTTCTTGGCACATAAACTAGTTCATGGGGGGGGGGGAATAAAGAACATTTAATGAACATTCCACTTCTAATGTATTATTTTAAGAACATTGAGATTCCCTTATCTCAAAGCGTCTTAGACGTCTTGACACCTTCATAATGCGTCATAATGGCATTGAGTCATAGAGTCATAAAGTATGAATCTTAACGTCGTGGTGTCTTTGAGTCAATGAGAATGAGGAAATGTTTCTTGGCACATAAACTAGTTCATGGGGGGGGGGGGAATAAAGAACATTTAATGAACATTCCACTTCTAATGTATTATTTTAAGAACATTGAGCTTCCCTTATCTCAAAGCGTCTTAGACGTCTTGACACCTTCATAATCACGAGACCTTCCCTTATCTCAACGCGTCTTAGACGTCTTGACACCTTCATAATCACGAGACCTTCCCTTATCTCAAAGCGTCTTAGACGTCTTGATGCCTTCATAATCACGAGACCTTCCCTTATCTCAAAGCGTCTTAGACGTCTTGACACCTTCATAATCACGAGACCTTCCCTTATCTCAAAGCGTCTTAGACGTCTTGACACCTTCATAATCACGAGACATTCCCTTATCTCAAAGCGTCTTAGACGTCTTGACGCCTTCATAATGAAGAGAGCTCTTCTTAGAAGAGACAAAAATAGTTCGCCTCAAAATACATAAAAAGTTTGTAATAATTCATAAAGTATTTAATGTAATTATACATACCAATGTATGTTCATCCTTATGTGAGTCTAAGAATCAGGGGCGATCTTTGGGGGTGGTGTAACGTGGGAGTAGGGGCGCCTTTTACACTATGGTTATGTAGAATTTATATTTTGGGGTTTTTGATAATTCTTAGGGACCCTTTAAAACTATGCCAGACCTCCCCCACCCCGAAATGACTGCATGTGTCAATATACACTCCTCTGAAATGACATACGGCTGTATGAGTCTCCATTAACTCCTCTAAAGTGACATACGACTGTATGTGCCAACATTAACTCCCCTGAAATGGCATACGACTGTATGAATCTCTTTTAACACCCTTGAAATGACATACGACTGTACGTGTCAACATTAACTCCCCTGAAATGGCATACGACTGTATGAATCTCTTTTAACACCCTTGAAATGACATACGACTGTACGTGTCAACATTAACTCCCCTGAAACGACTTACGACTTTATGTGTCAACTTTAACTCCCCGGAAATGACTATATATGTCAATTACTCCCCTGAAACGTTTGTATGTGTCACCATACTCTCTTATCTTAGACTGTGTTTTTGTTACATTAGCCTAGAAAAGGATTAACAACAACTTTGAAAGACTTCCTGGTTAGAGGGTAAAATTATTACAAGTAACGGGCCGACAAATTGGGACAAACAAGCAGAGGGAGATAATCGAATTCTTATCAAATAAAGGAAAATGGAGAATGGGAGAAAATCTTTTGGTTTTTTATAGCGCAACAGTAACCCTCAACAGGTGGTGGGGGTAAGTGCTTCCCCTTTAGACACGTTTGACGTCATGTGGTCGTTAGAAGTACGTTTGACGTCATATGGTCGTTAGAAGTACGTTTGATGTCATATGGTCGTTAGAAGTACGTTTGACGTCATATGGTCGTTAGAAGTACGTTTGACGTCATATGGTCGTTAGAAGTACGTTTGACGTCATGTGGTCGTTAGAAGTACGTTTGACGTCATGTGGTCGTTAGAAGTACGTTTGACGTCATGTGGTCGTTAGATGTACGTTTGACGTCATATGGTCGTTAGAAGTACGTTTTAAAGCAAATTTCGGCTATGACTTAACGCACTGGGTAAAAAGATGCCGCCCCCCCCCCCGCCCTCATTGAATGGTGCTACGCCACTGATGCCCATCATTCATCACGACTAAACCATGAGAGTTGGAGTGCAGCGGGGGCGGGGGGGGGTGGAGGAGAACAAAAATAAATACCACAAACAAGGAAGCAACAGTTTCTATCTATCTGACTGAACTCCACCTCTGACCGAATGACCTCTGACTCTAAGGACATGTGATGTTCAGTTTTAACTCCGCCTCTGATTGAACGACCTCTAATTCTTTGGACATAGGATGTCTAATTTTAAAAGTTGTGGGGGTTTAAAGGGAAGTATCACGGCCATGGCTGGGACAAAAACGTCACAAATAAGCGTCTCTAAATGACGTCATTGGCCTTCTTTTTTTTTTTGTTCCATACACAGACCCCGAGGCTGTGATGTTGGTTGACGAATAGTGAATACCAGGGTCTTGGGTTCATTCTCTCGCAATATATCATCGTACATAAATTTGGTTTGTACTCTACCGTGATGTTGTTTAATACCCTTGTCCTTAGTTAACACCGCCGTTAACTCTAACAAGGGGATGTCACCGGCTGGACTTAAGTAATATGGACAGGAAACTAATTCCATTGTGCATTTTTTCTTAACTGCGAATAGCGGAAATGAGCTATCTGCTTTAATGCAATTTAAATATTACTGGTAATAAATAAGGAACATTTGCAATCAAGCACGTAGCACTTACGTAGCACTTACGTAGCACGGGCGTAGCATTGATGGTGTTTGGATATAAATGGTCGGTTCTTCCTCGGTTGATTATAGCGCGACCTTCAACTTGAGACTGGCGCTACGTAATCTGGCCTTAGGCGTAGGGTCAAAGTCTGACGTTAAGGTTATGGTCAAAGTCTGGTGTTAGTAGTAAGGTCAAAGTCTGGCGTTAGGAGTGAGGTCAAAAACTTAAGTTAGGAGTAAAGTCGTGATCGAGATAAAAGACTTTGAGTAAAACATTGGAAGTAACAAGTAACATTTTAAAAATCATGTTTTTTTAAATAAGTGACCATGAGGTATTTGAAAGCCCTGAACTCAAATCTCATGTAATTCTTCATTTGAAAAGATTACGTTTGCAGTGGGAACCAGACCACTTCATTCCCCTTCGCAAAGCCAACGTTGTGTTCACTGAAAATTTTAGAACTATATCATCTGTCAGATTCAGACAACTTAGATTCCCGATTGAATGTTGACTGGCATAAAGTTGTTTAGGTGAAAACATAGCTCGTCTAATGCTGAGGGTCAACTTAGAGAGTCGAAATCAACGGTCAAGTTAAATACAAGGGTTTAAGCTCTTTAAAAAATAAATGATCACTTTATATCAGCGATTCTCAAACTGTGTAACATAACATTTTTTTCCGGGTAGTACACAGAGGTTAACAGAAAATAAATACATTTAAGCGTACAACATTCTGGAACATATGTCGTGTGTTATATCATGAGACAGCATGGGATACGCCAATCAGTGGCGTAGCGAGGCAGGTGCGGGAGGTGCGGACCGCACCGGGTGACACCATTTTAGGGGTGACACCCGATTGAAAAATTGCATATTTACAGGGCACACATTGCTCGCAAAAATCGCGATTCATAAAAGAATAACCGATCACACATATATTTTTCACAAATGTAACCAATCCAAATGCGTGCTTTATTAAAAGTTCAAGGTTGATGCTATATTGTGGACTTATTTTAACAAGAAAAAATCGATCATACAAGTTTGGGGGTGGGGGGGGGTGACACCATGAGTTTACCGCACCGGGTGACACCAACCCTAGCTACGCCACTGACGCCAATGGCTATGTGTTATGTCATTAACCAGTATTAGATTTGCCTATTGCTATGTGATTTTTTCATTAGTCAGTATGGGATACGCCTATCGCTATGTTAATTAATTTTTTTTTAATTTCGTGATTATTTTTGTTAAATTGTGTGTTGAGCGTGGTGAGCCCAGCCCTAGGCTGTGGTACCACGCTATATAAAACTACTACTACTAATAATAATAATAATATTTGTTGTGTCATTAGTCAGTATGGGATACCCCTATGGCTATAAGCTGACTTTCCTATTCCTGTATCGATCACCAGGTGTAGGATAAGTCCCAGACCTCCTTGATATAATAATTGTAGAGCGCTTAGAGTTGTAAGATAAGCGCTATACAAAAATGCCTAAATAAATAAATATAAATAGAAGTCTTGGGTCACGTCGTGGGGAAACCCCTCAACCCCCCCCCTCCTCCACAACCACTTAAATTAACTCTCATCATTGCCACTTGGAGCTATGCAGGTCAAGGACGTTTGTTCTTGAGTTTACAACTTCACACTTAAAGAATGTTCAGATAAACATGAGAAACTTCTAAGAATCACTCCCCTAGTGATTTGGGGGGGAGGGGGGAAGAGACTAATATACCATCAGGTTTTTCCATAGCCAGTAAATAAGGGCATGTATCCAGCTAACACCAGAGTATGGATTTGTTTATTAGAGAGTGATATGCTGTGAGAGAGAGTGAACTAGAAAAGCGCAGTGGTGAATGGCAGATACCATCTACGACTAGTTACATCGCACTGTGTTATACACCCCCAGTTTTCTAAATGGGGAAAAAAGATACATAAAGAGGGGTTTTACCAGAGTTGGTCTAGGAAACTCGACATCAGGAAATCAAGGTTTGTAGGTTTTTGCATTAAACTCTATTCATTACTTGTCCTTTAAATGTGGGCTTTTGGTTTAACCGTCTTGACCCTAAGCCAATAATGATTTATGTCTCTGTCAGGCACAACAGGCTGACTCTTTCAAGATCATCGTTGTGGGGTGGAGAGCCCCGAAAAGTGGGGGGGGGCATTTATGTAAAAGTGAAAGCTATAAAATATGTCTAAAATTTAAACTATGTAACAAATGTATAGCAAATAGAGTTGTTGTTTTTTGTATAAGGTCGGGGTCAGTGGTGAAAATCAACGAGGGAATGGGCAATGGCGCTATACAATTTACTTAGCTTCTTTAACTTTAACATTTATTGTTTACTTACAACTTTTCCTTTTGCCCCTGGAGGACGCCCTGCTGCCCTCAATCTAATGCGCCAGTTAACTCCACTGGGGCCCCTGGGGGACTTCTTGCAGCCCCTGGTCTAAGGCACCAGTTAACTCCACTGGGGCCCCTGGGGGACTTCTTGCAGCCACCGGTCTAAGGCGCCAGTCAACTCCACTGGGGCCCCTGGAGGACTTCTTACAGCCCTTGGTCTAAGGTGCCAGTTAAATCCACTTACTGAGGCACATGACAGTCACGGGGCTCAGGGCGTGTCCGATGACGTGGCTCCCAGCAACGCCCGGCAGCTCACTGTCACGTCACAGGCTTAGTGGCAAGTGCTACTTTTCCTTCTGAGCATCCGCGATATCGGTGAAAAGATTCACGCCAATCGCTGTTGGAAGTTTTGATGACGAGAACAGCAAAGTCCTTGACATTCCTGATGAGCCTATACACATCAGTTCTCAAATTAAATATATATTAATGTTTTCTCTTTCCAATATTCTAGACCTTTTGCTGACGTAGTTTAGTCAGTAAACATGTATTCTTTAAACCACGATGTTTTAAGACTTACACTGACCCACTGATTTTATGACAGGAATGTCCATAATGATGAACGTGCCCAGACTGCTGATCTTGCCCAGACTGCTGATCTTGCCCAGACTGATGATCTTCACCGGCCTTCTCCTTCTGCCAGGCCAGTTTTACACCCAAGCCTCCAACGTAAGTGCTACGTCAGAGTCGACAGCGGCATCTTCATCCGGTTCATATTTCAAATCGGAAACAGGAAGTTCTGTCAACGGTTCATTGACCAATGAAATTACAGCCAACTTTGCGGATGTCAAGAATATCACGGGAACCGTCCCTTATCATGGGAACGGCGATGGTGTTGATTTCAAAACTAAACACCAAAGAGTAAATATAGAAACTACGATTTCTAGATTGTTTGATGAAGCTAAAACATCACCAACAACCCCGAATTATTTTCCAGAGTTTTATCTTGACAGTGATTTCCAGGCGGAAGACTTGGTCTCATCAGGTCAAGAAACGGACGATGTCTTTAACTGCAAGCCTTGTAGCTGTTCCCGTTCCAAATCGGGCCGCCTCATGGCCAACTGCACATACCTTCATCTGACGACTGTCCCTACCGGCCTTCCAAAAGACACGTGGTCTGTAGACATGTCTTATAACGACCTCAATGAATTCAACATCACCAGCATCATGCCGTACCCATCGTTGGCTCGCCTGAAGATTTCAAACAACCGGAAGTTGACTAAAATATCCAAAGGTGTGTCCCAGATAACAGTCCTCCCCTTGACCCACCTCGATCTCAGCAATAACCATTTAACTTTCATTGAGGACAGTAGTTTTTCAGCATTAACGAAACTGTACAATCTAACACTGCGGAGAAATAACATAACCAAGATCAGTAATGGAACTTTTGATGGACTGGAACAGCTGACGATCCTGGACCTGTCAAATGGGACTTACCGTTTGGAAATCGGTGCCTTTGACGCACTGATTAATTTAAAGCTGCTCGACCTTAGCTGCATTTGCCAGTTGGGTTACGGTGTCAAATTTTTACCCCCAAGGCTGCTACAACCTTTGGCAATGCTGCAATATTTGTATATTCACGGGAGCACGCGAACAGAAGAAGTCCACTATCCCAGCTCATCGTTGAAGCAGCTGACCAGTTTGATTGGACTAAGCGTGGACGGCATGCCTGATATACACACATTCGGCGAGGACGTGCGATCCTTGAAGAACTTCTCCCACCTTCAGATTGGGCTCGGTGACCGATGCTTGATGAAAAACCTTACAAAGATTTTTTTCAAAAACATCCCGCACATCACATCGTTCGAAATAACGAGCTGCTCGCCTCTGGCCAGCCTCAGTTCTGACGCTTTTACCGGGGTCAACTTGACACGCTTGTCGTTCAGTTACTTAGCCAACTACGATCTCTTTCGTGCATTCCAGGATCTCAAACAGTTCCAGCATTCGACACTGAGGAGTCTCTCTTTTATTCATTTGTATCATCAGGGTCCTCCGTGCACCTTCCTGTCAGGTCGTGATGCCGTCTACTTGCAGAATATCGATCTAGACGAGTTAGATTTGTCCAGAAATAGGCTGGCTCTTCTAGGTGATGATTTCATTAAGAAACTTCCTTCAACACTGAAAAAATTAATTTTGCGGCACAATCGTTTCGTCAATGACACCATGACAATTTCAGTCTTTAGACCATTACAGCAGCTGGTAGAGCTAGATGTTTCCTATCAGAACATTCACGTCTCGGACTACTCGGGTAAATGTCAAAGGTCATTGCTACATGAGCAGGCAGAAAGTGTACACATTACTTCCAGATACTACTCTGGTCATGACGATGTCAACGAATATGACAGTATATCTAGAAGTGCCAATGCTGAAAACATGCAAATTCTTAGAAGTGTTGAGGTTGAGAGAAAAGTCGGCAACATAACGACCGACTCGACTCCTTCAGCTGAATATATCAAACCGAAACCAACATCAGACGATCCTCGTCTCAAAGTGAAAGTCGTTCACTCGACGTATTACAACGGTTTCGGAATGTCCCTTATCAGTGGGAAGGATGCTAAGAACAGCTCGGTCCAAGAGATTGACGTGTCCTATAGTTTTCTGTCATCTTGGGGACTAGGCAAGTTGCCGCGAAATGTCCGCAGGGCCATCTTTCGAGGGAACTACTGCCAACGCATCTCAAACGATTTCTTTCAGACGAGGAATGGATTGCTTTACTTGGATGTTCGGGAAAATTTTCTGGGCCCTGGATTCGCCAGTGATCTGAGCGGAACCGTTTTCGCACATCTCAGCCAGACGGTTTATCTGGATATTAGGCAGAATCTCATCTATGAACTTCCGGTTCAGTTTTTCAAGGGACTACAGCGGATACAGACTTTGAAAATTTCTGACAATAAGCTCGGGTATCTGAACTGTAATTTTTCTCACATGCGCAATTTGACTTTCTTAGACGTGAGCAGAAATTCCATAACGTCCATCAGTGCCGAAGTCCGTGATCACCTCGACAGCATCGCTTCGTCGCACTCGCTGTACGTCGACCTGAGCTTAAACCCCCTGCCGTGCACCTGCGCGATGATAGACGTGCTGTACTGGGTTGCGCAAACTAAAGTCGTCTTTGTGAATAAACATTTACTCCAGTGTCGCTATGAGACGGGTCAGATTGTCGCGATGGGTGACGTACAGTCTAGGCTGAGTGCCCTCCAGAAGAGCTGTGCCTCGTTCACTCTGGTCATTGTGATCTGCCTTTGCTGCCTGGCTGTCATCAGCGTTATTTTCACCACTGCGATGATGTACAAGTACCGTTGGAAGCTTCGGTACTGGCGAGCTATCGCCCTTGCCAAGCTGGTCGGCTTTACGCCAACTGTTCCCACAACCTCAAAGTACAAATTCGATGCGTACATTCTGTACACGGAGGAGACACGTGACTTCGTGATAGAGGAGTGCATTCGCGAGCTGGAGGAGAAACGGGGCCACAAGCTCTGCTTTGAAGAACGGAACTTCATGCCCGGTTCCTTGATAGTCTCTGACATCGTCAGCGCAGTTCGCAACAGTACAAAAACCGTACCGGTGGTGACCCCAGGTTTTTACAAGGGCAAGTACGCGGAGTACGGGGTTAACATGGCGCTCGTGGAGGAGGTCCACGAGCGGAGGTCGGTCGTGCACCTCTGCGTCTATCATGCCAGCCCCGTTGAGGATATGCCTTGTGACCTACTGAGGGTGATGAAGCGTAGGACATACACTGAGTACCCGCCGCTGGAGCAAGCGTCTGAAGACTTGGTGAACATTTTCTGGGATAAGCTTTCACTAGCTATTGGCCATACGGACAAGGACACCAACGTGTGTGAACAGATCCACTAGTGGATAATGAACGAAATGGCTAGAGGAAGCATTGGATGGATAAAATTAAGTTTTCGACGAACGCTTCATTTCGATCCATGATGGTCAAAGATTCTGCTAACATTTCTTCCTGTTGTCAAAACTGAACCGCCATTTGACAACGAGATTCTGGAACATGGATAGTCCACGATGAACAAGATCAGCGAGCTGGCATTAGCACTGCTAGCATACGATGACCCAGATGTGTTTATGGGATGTGATTTGAAAATGGTTGGGACAACTGAAGGCATTTATTGATTAGTGTGCTATACCTTTAAGCAGTGCATTGCATAGACAATAATCCCGTTTTTTTTTTATCATAAGCATTTTATGGTATGGATATATCAAGTTTAGTCCTTTTTTGTAAACGAAGTGGCCATTCGGACCCGGGTCCGAGAAGTGAGAGATTAGGTCCGAATAGCGGCGATGCGTTTCCGGTTCCATTTTGACTAAGTAGCCTACTATTTGGATGTCATTGGTGCTAGTTTATTTTAGTTAAACTAAAGAAGTAAGTTTACAAACATATCGTCCATTCAATTATCTTTCATTTGATTCCAAATTTTGTCTTACAAACCCTACAATAATGTTTAAATATTTTTTTAATAAACCCAAACTCTCACTTCTCGGACCCGGGTCCGAATAGCCGCAGCCTTTTGTGAAAGAAAGCAGAAATTTCGTGAGCTCGGAAGAAGCGTTCTTAATAAAACATATGACATTACAAATTAATGAGCATAAAAATGGACATGCACACAATCATTTAAAGCGTCTCTTTGGGCCAAAGGGAGGGCGGGGGAGGGGGGGGGTTTAAATCGTCATGTGTTTATTTAGGTTGCACTCAACGATTATAATTACATTCCAAAACATTCACAGTTTCTTTACTTTGTAATAAAAGAGACAATCCCTTGCCCCTATACCACACATGATTAAGACAATCCCTTGCCCCTATACCACACATGATTAAGACAATCCCTTGCCCCTATACCACACATGATTAAAACAATCCCTTGCCCCTATACCACACATGATTAAGACAATCCCTTGCCCCTATACCACACATGACTAAAACAATCCCTTGCCCCTATACCACACATGATTAAGACAATCCCTTGCCCCTATACCACACATGACTAAGACAATCCCTTGCCCCTATACCACACATGACTTAGACAATCCCTTGCCCCTATACAACACATGACTAAGACAATCCCCTGCCCCTATACCACACATGACTAAGACAATCCCTTGCCCCTGTATCACACATGACTAAGACTATCCCTTGCCCCTGTACCACACAGATGTTAGATACTATTGCATGGCCTGATGATGCAGACCTTGACCACTCTCTCCATGTCCATGTTTTCTTGTGTATTAGATTACTGGTTAATCAATGGCAAACTGCTTTATTAAAGAATGGCTTGTCATATGTGAGACATGAGACATATTATGTTCTGTAACCATCTTATTTCACTGTGAAATTACTCTGCTACTCATATTTCAGTAGTACACAGAAGATTTAATGGCACCAATACAGCTACAGTGTTATATACTATCAGACATTAAATCCAAGTTTGTTCAAACTGACCAATATCAAAATAGGCCAAAATATTTCTCTTCGAAACAACTGTGTTTTTATGCAGACTCTTTGCTGAGGACTAATGCCCTTGAATAGTTTTTTGATTGTTTATTTTGGAAGCTAAAGCTGCTAGCGGTCATTCAGACTAATGAAGAGTCAATCTATACAACAGACATTAAGTGTTATCTAAGAAACAACTAGAACCCTATTCACATGTCTTCCTTTTAATTTATAAAGTTGAATTTATACAAAATATTTTCATCATGAATGTAAATGCAAAATATTTTTGAAGAGCTTGCACTCATGATTAATACAACTACAACAAAACATGAGCTGAAATTGTACTGTTATTAAATAATGAACACTTGTATATCTATACATGTAAACAAAATATATCCTTAGGACCAGGTAGTCTTTCACCATGCTTAGTAAGTTCAGTGCTCCACAGACTTCCTGTCTCAAATCAAACTAATCAAAGTATTTACATGCCATACTAAATCAGTGTGTAGGAATGTAGTTCCCAAGGAATGCATCTCAATTCTAAAAGTCGTCCCCGTACAGAATAAATACAATTTTCCAATCTATGCAACAGATGGGATCACTTTGCTATAAGACAAAAACTTTATTTTCAGTATATGTACAATTTCTTAATAGAATGCCAATGATATCTTTAACTATGACTGTTTCTCTTTTATGTTATAAAATATGGACAAAGCAGTAAGTTTTTTTTTTTATAAATGAAGTTTTAAAAATATAGCAAGAGAGACATTATTATTTGTTAAAGCCGTAAAAGCTCAATTCTCAAACTAATATTTCTGAACTAAAAGTATCTGAACAATCAAGTTCAGCATTTAAAAACATCAAGTTCAAGTTAAAATATATTAACCAGTACATCTACATCTCCAGTTGAGAAAGAAAATCAATCATTAAAACTTTATAATGTATCATCAATTCATTTCATTAAAACACTGATAATGGTAAATAGTTCATTAATTCAAGTATTTAACTTTACAATTGCACAAGTCCTAGTAATATTTAGATGATCTGCATTTTTTAATTTATTAGCCATCTGCATTAGGCAGCTAGGTACATTAATATTATATGTTGACATAATGAAGCACAATGTATGGGGGAAAACAAGAATGAAACAAGAGCAAATGATATTTACAATTTTTTTATATAATAATAAGTGCCAATATATATTAAAAACTTTATCATAATAAATGAATCAAATATCAGTGTATGGTTTTATATTATCTATAAATAGTTTGTCAGATGAGACCAGCTGGATACATCTATATTCTAAATGGAATAATCTTCAGCGTAACTAAAATAGAAATCAATTTCAACCAAATCCTGTTCAGTTAACGAATAAGCTCAGGAAGCCTAGTTCCCCTGTAGATAAACATGTGTTCCTCTATCATTTGTATTGTAAACTACTGGTTGTATTGAAGCTTATCAGTGCATTCAGGGGACACAAGCACACTGAAGTAAATACATTTGAAATGTGTATATAAAGTGACATAACTCTTTTCATTTCGGTTTAAAGCTTCTGCAGATATAAAGCCAGGCATTGAAACATTCTAAGGTTAGAGATAGCCTTCAACTTGAAGGTGTGACTTGATAGAAAATGAAGAAGAAGAATCCACAGTGCATCTACCACCAAAGTGTCCCATTAAACAGTTGAAAGGGACAGACTGAAAGCAGCATACAGCAAATAGCAGCATGTTTTTAAAGTTATATATATCTATATATATATATATATAAATATATATATTTAAACCTACCATGACTGATAATATATATACAATGAAGCCCCACTGTAAATCACCCCACTATTAACATGATCTGATTTAGTGCAACCCATTTATCATATAATTATAGCAGAGTTCCCCTGTATATAAATTTATATAGATGAATACAAGGTATGACAATTTACCTCAGATGAGTGGGTCTGATTCAATTGCTGCTGGTCATGGCTTGAAGATCTCTCATCTAACATTAGCAGCAGTAGGCATGCTGTTTATAAATGAGTTTTGAACTGCGTGGCCTGGATGCTACTGGCCTTGATCAAAAAGAGATACTCACTTAGCCAAATATCACTGCACGTTATATTCACATAGTTGACCCCAGCTAGGTCCTACCTTGACCTTAACCGGCATACAAACATTCAATTTGACAGCAACCTCCATCTCATTCTTCACCAAGCGGGCAACCTCTGCTACTTGATTGGCTGAGACTTCATAGATGAGCTCATCGTGGAGTTGCAGCACTAGAAAAGCTCCTCTTACTGCTGTTGGAGCATTCTCAGGATCTGGCAAACGGAACACTCAAAATATATATTTAAACAACACAGTGCGTACCATTTCAAATAGATAGTGCTAAAATGAACAAGTACGACAGAAAATCATACAATCATGGCCTCATAAATATGGAGAAACCAGTTTATTTTAAAATCTATTATTTTTTACTCTTTCCTGAATCCAGCAAAAAAATAATAGTTTTTTCATTTTCAGTTTTTCACAGGAGAATTCCAGGTGAATACTACCAAGGTATTTTCCTAATACTAATTTAAACCAAACAAAAATTAGAGGAGCAAATTCAAACTGGTGACTAATTACAAAAAAGCTACCATCACTATTTGACACTTCACTTCACTAAGTTTTCAAGCAGGTCTTCTGTGTGTGTGTGTGTGTGTGTGTCTGAGAGGGTTAAGGTTATTGTTTTACCTAGGTGTAAGACATCTGCAACAAAACCGCACTGTAGAAATTTTCTTACCTCGAGAAACTTGGGAATGGCAGTTGCGAGTCATCGGGAATAACTGCATCAGTTTCCTGTCAATGTTAGACATAGCAATTTTGACCAGATCGGCAGCTGAGCCCTGGATAGTTGTGTTGACCGCTTGCCTTTCAGCCTGAATGATAATTTCACTTTTTGTTAAACATGACAGGTTTGAATATTCACAGGGACCAACTTTCAAGGTTTCATAACTGTTGGTCAAGGGGGTCAGTTTCTAAAGCCCAAATGATTGCTTCTAGACCAACTAAGTTCAAATTATGTGAGCTAAACAATGCTGCTCTCTAAGCTATAATCAAACAGAAACTGAATAAATTTACCTGCTTTGAAAAATTAATTAAATTTTGGTTTGAAAAAACTTATTTTTAAAACCTAAATCTTTGACAGATTTGTTTGTTTAAACATGTTAAATAAAACCATTGACTAAAGCTAACAATATTTCCATGTTTAATAAGACAATTTTTAGTTAGTTCTTTCAGCAAATCCAAAAACTTCAAGCCTTCAGTTATGAGCTGTGTCTCTACAGCTAAACTATTCACAACCATCACAATACCTGGGCTCTAGCGTTAGGGTTACTGTTTCTGATCGAGGGCAGATATCGTCTTCTGTTAAATATGGTCTTCACATAGCCATTTTTTTGGCAAAACTCAACTGTCTCCCTTAAGTATTTCCTTATTCCTTTAAAAACAAAACATGGTAAAACAATAAGGTAATTTTTTTAAAGTTTGTTGAAATTAACAGAAATATATTTGACCATCTTTTATTGGTTATAATTTTACCATAATAATTCCAATAATTTTTCCCATCAACCACGAATTATAAGTCTAATTAAAATACATTCTTAATGCCACCTGAATCTTCTGTAAATTTTAAGATAATTTTAATATCGCATTTTTTATTTGGCATTATGCTTGTAAATAACTAAAGGTACCACTATCTGAAAAGCTACATGCATGAATGCTTCTATCTGATGTGACTGTTAAATAAACCCCCTTACCCTGATATCTGGACTTGAAGGTCTCCATGAAAACACCAGCATCATTTTCATCTACACCCAGCTGTTCCCCCAGGGCCTTGGGGCCAATGCCGTAGAGCATGCCGTAACAGACCTTCACATAGAAATGTCATTGAATATTACACATTCTTACTGCATGTAATTGGTAACTGGCATCACTCGACATTACTAAGAGTTGGACTGATCAATGTGCAGATAATTGTTCATCTGCCTAATCTGCCATTTGCTGATAAATCGGTAATTTGATTTTTGGACTGTTTAATTGATTAAGCTGCCCTATGAAAATGCCCTCAAAATATAAGATATAAATCTTAATAATTTCAATAAACAATTGTGTGTTTTATGGGATTTCAACAATTTTGTACTAGATTAGCTATGCCCAAGAGTCTCAGCCTGCTATCATAATATTTTTGTTCTTTCTATTTTTCATTGTGATGACGTTACTGTTTTCCCCAAGGAACCCTAACAACATTTCTCCTTTTTTCCCCCCAGCTATCAACACTTCAATATCTTGAAATGACATAATGACATGTTTTACTTTGGTTATACCATTATTTCATAGCCGTTAAAACTGCGCTAGCACCGTACATCACATGGTACTTTTTCAACAGCTCCCAGGCTTTGATTACTTAAGATATTAGTCTGATAAATTATTTGCGTATAAATTTACTTTGCTGCAGGGATTTAAAATATTATGTGCGGTGCAGACTATTAGACTATTTTATTTTGGGACGGGGGAAGTGGAAGGAGGCAGAGGAAGAATAGAAGGAGGAGGGGGGGGGGTGTGGGGAGGGCGTAAGTTTACATCAAATTTCAATAAAAGTGTGTATTATGAACTGGTCTCCATGTCTGTGATTATGAATGTACCAGCATCTTAGCTTCCTCTACTTAACAGCACTTTTTTAGATTGGTGTCTTTTTGGACAACTTAAAGATGAATACATTTATTAAGGCTCATTATTTAGAAATGAATTCAACTTAGAAACAGATTTTTTCAAAAAGAATAATATAATGTCTAAAAATGCTTTTTTCCCTGGTTGTCCCATAACCATTGCAAGGGGCACTTGAAATACTTGACCCTTGGAGTTGCTATAAACAAGTGTTTCCCAAAGTATAGGTTTCCCTTTACAGGTGATAATTTGAAGATAACGTAAAGTGAGTGAGGGGGATTTAGTCTCTGTTGGGGGGTATTTTCATTTCAAAAGAAGGAAGGGAAAAGTTGCTCATGTGTGGCCAGGGGGAGGGGGGAGGGGGGGGGGAGGGTGCAACATGACATTAAACCATTTTAGATGGGAAAAGAATGGTTGCAAACATTGGTGTAAGTGTTACATCTTTGCACGTCTGAGATCGATTCAAAGTAAATTTGCAGATGAGTCTGCTTGTCATAGTATTGTTCTGATGTTAATATCCAGGTCTATGCACAAATGCAAAAAGTTCAAATGTTTGAGCAACAGAGTAACACTCACTTCCACATTCTCTTGACCAGGTTATAATCATATTTGATCCTTACTGCCTGTAAGCCCAAATTGTAGCTAAATCACTGTGATAATTTATACAGCGTTATGAATTTAGCATACCTAAAAATTATTTCAGTAATTTCGGTAATTAATTACCGATTAATCGGTAATCGATCTTTTGATAACTGGTGCAACCCTAGCATAAACGCTAGACGCGTTTTAGAGGTTGAAAACTTAAACATTTTCTTTTTTGATTTCTAAAATTCAAATCACCACCTTTTATCCAATTGGTGGGCAATGGATAAAAATAACAATGTCAATAATCCATTCACCTGTTTAGCCTGTTGTCTGTGATCTGATGTGACCTCCTCTAGCGGTATGCCTTTCATCTGAGCTGCTATCATGTTAAAGACATCCCCATCAGTGGCATTCAGGATGTTGGCCAGCTTGACATCTCCTGAAAGGTGGCAGATGATCCTGAGCTCCAGCTGAGAGTAATCTGCAGCCAGAATGACACCACCTGGAATATGAATGCACGGCATCAAAGGTCACCACATCACAGTCACGGTCAAGGGGAATATCCATCAAACACATGTCTATGAGCTACTTTGGTATTGAAATGAATACAGCTTTATTTAGTTTAAAGCTATTTAAAACATTTGTTTTAATATTTATTTAAAAACAGACGCAAGTTGAATACGTGAATTGTGTTACTCACATATATCAAGATTGACTGTAATTAAATTGCATTAACAAAACAAAAAAATTTGTTTTATAATCTGTCATTTTCATAATTAACTATTGCGGGCATTTCATAAAATCGCCCCTACACTTTGAAGAAAGAAGTACATTATACAAAAAATTATCATACTTCAAAAAAAAAAGAAAAATACCTTTGAAAGGTATAAATAGCTTCCTCATACTGATAGGAGCAGTTACAAGATTGTCAGGGTCTATAATCTTAGCTTCTTGTCGGTTGTCTCCCCTGATCTGAGCAAGTTTTGTTTGACCACCTTTAGTAATACCAATTGTTCTTGAACTTCTAGTGGGAGGACTTTCCCCAATAAAATCTGATTTGAAAAAAAAAAAACAAATCTGCTGCATAATTATTAATATAAAAATGTTTAATGTGAAATCTAATTAAAACTAATAATAAAACTCTTATAATAAATATAAAGAATGGAATTAAAAAATACTAGTCGTAAGGCTAGACACCAATTAAGTTTTTAAGTCATTAAATAATCTACCATGCTTCACAAAATTTTTTAGTAAACAGTAAAAGTAGAAGTATGAGCCAATGATTTTGATATATACCAGAGTGAAATATTACCATGTAATGTCAGTGTCTCTATTTAAAGCACATCATAAATAATCTGGCTTTCACTTCAAAGGCAAATGAAAATAGTTAGCAGCTCTGTAATTTCAATTATTTGATGTTAAAACTTTGGCTAGGAAGTCAAAGCTTAGACATGAAACTCTCAATACCTGGAAGTTGAATGGAGAAATCTTTGGGTACGTTCTGAAGATTGGGCTCAGCCATGCTGACACGACCCGTCGCTGTGAAGATTTGACATTCACTGAACACACGAGACATATCAAGTTTAGGACAAAGCCTGGAGACAGAAAAATACATTGAGTTAGAATGTTAACATCTTCCCCAAGAAAGTTATCAATTTGAAAGATTTTGGGTTAACATGTACATTTTTTTAAGTGTTGAAATGTTCATAGACCATTTCTTGTTAATTTTTTTTTTTTTTCGACTTAAATTTTTGTCCCCAGGATAAAAAAATATTAAATCTTCTTGAATTGTATGCAGATCAACAATGTTTAGAGTTGTTATGTATTTGAGCATATAAGAAACAGTTGAGTATATAAGAAACAGTTGAGTATATAAGAAACAGTTGAGTATATAAGAAACAGTTGAGTATATAAGAAACAGTTATGTATATAAGAAACAGTTAAGTATATAAGAAACAGTTGAGTATATAAGAAACAGTCGAGTATATAAGAAACAGTTGAGTATATAAGAAACAGTCGAGTATATAAGAAACATTTGAGTATATAAGAAACAGTTGAGTATATAAGAAACAGTTGTATGGCTGTAATCACTCTGTGAGCATCTACAAAAAATTGTTAAAAATTACATCGTAGTTTACCTTGCAGCATTTTGCAGTGCAAAAAGTGACTTGGTCAGTGCTGAGCTGATGCGTCTCCACTCAAGAATGACGGCTGGCAGAGGATGAAATTTCTGCAATTTTTCCAGCACCTCCTTGCTGGTGCTGCCAATTGTGGTACGTCTTCCCCTGGTACCGCGGGTCGGAAGGTGTGGTACAACGGTTGGGTCTCCATTGATGGGAAGTTTCAATTCAATATATAAAATCTGATTCATTAAAATAAAATTAAAATAAAATCCTTAAATTAAAAATTAAACAGAATAGCTTTCAAAATTTAACACGTGAAAAACACAATTTTAAGCACTGCTTTGAACAAAGTACTCCTAGAGTTGAAATAACTTGTCAGATAGTAAGGTTTTCTAATTCTTTTGTGGTTAAAATGTTGATGATACATCCCAACCTCTTCATCACAAATACCTAAAATCAGCTCGATCAGGGCGAATTCTTTCTCTTAAAGTTCCGACCAAAAGATATAAAAATTCTTTTGTTCCCCAGTCTGTACGAATTTACTGCCATGCTCCACCAGTGGCCACCAATTATAAAAGATCACTAATGAAGTCAATACTGTCACTAAAGAAGTTCATTGATCATTGATTTCTACGTTGGAGAAATACTTTAGATATCTTGTATTTACATCATTATAATTGTAAAATGTTTTCTTGGTTAATAAATGTATTTCTTTATGTGCTCAAAATAAATATGTAATATGTAACCAAAAACAATTTCATTTATTTGGATCGATAAAAAAGAATCTTATCTTATTCTGATTTTGCATACTTCAGCTTTGATTATGTTAATTTTTTTCACTGGGTATGAGTGCAAAAAAATAAATATGCTCATTTTATTTCTGTACCACACATGACCTTATAAATCACACAACCTTTAAAATGATTGCAACTGGACATATCTCAAAAGCTAAATTTAAACCAAAAATAAATTTTTAAAAACTTTATTAACTGATGTTAAACCTTGAATAAATTATAAAAGTGATCTGCAGCGTATATTGCAAACTAATCTAAAAATGTGAACAACTTCTGTTTATCCCAGTACAACTTTGAACAAATTTTACAAATTTCCCAATACAGCATACCCCAGTACAAGTACACACTTCAGTGAGGTTAACTTTCAGTATACTCCACTACAAGTACACATTTCAGTGGGGTTAGTATACAGTATACCTCAGTACAAGTACACATTTTAGTGGGGTGATCATAGAGAAATGATAGCACTCACTTTGGCCACATCATCAGTAGAAGTCAGCGAGAACACATGGCCAGCCATCTTGTAGGCTTGTTCCTCTAACACGGTCAGTTTGGTTGTCATCACAGTTTTCTGGCTCTCAAACTCTGCTTCACTGACACCTAAACGAATGGTTTCATAGAGTACAAAATTACTTTTATGGTGACAACATAACACTGATTTGATCACATTAGTTGACAGATACCAACTCAGAACTTGCCGTCTCTAAGATTCCATGAACGCAAAGGACCAATGGGCTTGAACTTTTCAAGCTGACTATTCATAGTGTACAAGCCATAACCAAAAGTTTCACACTAGGACATCTCTTTAACCGTATGTAAGTAGACAACAAATGTTAACACAAGATTAACTTAACTGAATAAATTATACCCCTTGACTGTTTTGTGTTTATTTATTCTGTGGTGTGCTTTTTAATTTAACCCACGAACTGTCGTCGGCCGATTTTCTCTTTCCATACTGTGTCGGCCGCTAAAAATTGCGTTGAAAGAATAAGTTCCAGTCCAATATTTTACACCAAATGAAACTACTTTTATCAATAAATTAACTTCCGTTTTTCGCTCTTCTGTGCCCTTTTTTTAAACTTTTGGAGTTATTTTTACAATGATCTTTATCAAGCAAATTTGTGTAAGTAGATTTTTGCAGAATGGATGAGGCCATAGCTGGACCATCTGGCTTACAAAATAAATCAGTAAGGAATTTTTTGGATAACTTTTTAGCTAATGACTTAAATGATTCGGAAGATGATTTTCCGATCACACACGAAGACAATGATAATTCTGATTATTTTTATAGTGGGACAGAAAGCGAAAGTTCGGACTCGGGTGATTTAGACCTAGGCCTAGAACGAATAGGCGTTGCCCCAACAACAGGACTCATTCAAAAAATAATTGGATTTAGTTTTTCTGAAACATAATTTTATGATATTTTAATTAATTAATTACTCATTTTTTTTTTTTGGACAAACTTTCCAGAGACAGAATAAAGAGGGGAGAAATCTTTGGGTACATTCTGAAGATTGGGCTCAGCCAATGTCTAATTGGCATAATACACAAGTTTAGATTTACCAAAGCCATTTAGCTCCATTCTGGCCAAAGTTATCAAGGATGGCATCTCCACATCCAAAAGAGCATCCAGCAAGTGTTCCTCCACCAGCATTGTGTGATACTTGGAGATGAGCTTCATGGTGAGGACGCTCTCTGTGCTGGCTCTCAGTCTGCCACTTATTTTACTCTTTATGTCTGTACCCATGCCATGGTAACCACTCACTCCACCAACAGCTGAAACAAACCAAGTCACATCATATTATGGGAATTAAAACATTTAGTCAGACTAGAAAATTACAAGAGAGGAATATTGAACATTTCATTTAACACGTGAGACAACAATCTCATTTCAGTATTATTTCAGATTTATTTTTATTAGACAACGAAATGTTTCTGTCATTGTGCTACAACATTAGTCATCTCCCCCCAACCCTGGGGTCAATCACTCTGAATGATTTAAACTAGTTCAATATCAATTTCATAGCACAATTAAAAATGAAGAGACTTAATCGAGTGTATTCTTTTAGGTATTTTTACAGTAATTAGATAATAATGATTTGATTTTTTTTTAATTATGATATATTTCATTTTTTAATACTGTAATAAAACAATGATGTCTCAAATAAGAATTACATCATTAAACCAAACCAAGTAGTCATAAAACTATTGGTTGTCTACACACCATCAAGTAAAGGAAGTTCCTCGGGGCAGTGTGCTGCAACCATCCTGTGCAGATTTTTCAATCGAGCTGTTGGCTCACGCAGCCAGTCAGCAACACGAGGATCCTCACAGTGGGCTAGGGCTATTCCTAGGGCCTTGGCCAGATAATTATAGGCCATCTTAGCGTCATAAATGGCTACTGTCTGTTTGGATGCTCCTTGTCCTGAAATTAAGTTACATAAAAAATGTTTCAGTAATTCATATGTTCACGGTTATTTGCAAAAATCTTGCACACATTTAAAACTAACTTTAGCAAAATAATTGTTCACTACCATCACTAAACTGCTGAGAAGAAATCTCTCAGCACTAATTTAACTTTATTAAACAGCTGTTTCCTAAATAATTTCTATCTTGCAAATCGTTGTTCTAACTTTCAGCAAGGATCATCTGTTTAAAATAAGCAAATTAACTTATGAACATTATGATGCATCACAGAGCAAACCACCTACACTGCCAAGCCAAAGAAGTTGAGGACAATGTCATTTGAAATCAAAACATAGGCAAGAGTTCTTATTTTATTATTTGTTACCAAGATTAGAATCCAAGACTTGAAATACAGACTGGATCCTGTGCTTCTGTGACAGACTGTCATCTAGAGGAGGCTCTGCCAGTGTGTCGTTGGGATCCACCTCAGCTAAATGGAAACATTTGACATGAAAGCAACATGGTTATGTCAAACTCTTATGTCAAACTCTTATGTCAAACTCCTATGTCAAACTCTTATGTCAAACTCCTATGTTAAACTCCCATGTCAAACTCCTATTTCAAACTCCTATGTCAAACTCTTTAATGTGCCCTTAATGCTCCATCAGAAGCCGTCATGCAACACAGCGTTGATATCTTCTCTGAGGCCTGCAATAACTTTGGCCTCACAATCAACACAAAGAAGACTGAGGTGATGTATCAGCCAGCTCCCAGTAAGCCTTACGTTGAACCCAACATCATCATCAGTGGACAGCGTCTCAACCCGGTGGATAAATTTACTTACTTGGGCAGCACCCTCTCTAGATCTGTCGTCATGGATGATGAAATGAATGGCAGACTCGCAAAAGCTAGTGCCCTATTTGGCAGGCTCCGCAGCACTGTTTGGGACAGGAGAGGTATAAGTCGAGAAACAAAGCTCAAGGTCTATAGCGCAGCAGTCCTCCCGACAGTGCTTTATGGATGTGAAACGTGGACTGTCTACCAGCGTCACGCCAAGAAACTGAATCATTAATTTTCACACTACCTGCCTCAGGAAACTCCTCGACATCAGGTGGCAAGACAAAGTCCCTGACACCAAGGTCCTCGCTAGAGCGAACCTACCTAGTATCTTCACCACTCTGATGCAGTCTCAGCTCCGTTGGATGGGACACGTAGCCCGTATGGCAGACCACTGGCTCCCAAAACAAATATTCTTTGGAGAATTCACGATAGGCAAGAGTTCCCAAGGAGGCCAAAGAAAGCGTTACAAAGACTCACTGAAAGTGGCACTAAAGGCCTTCAGCATAAACCCTACTCAATGGGTGCAGACAGCCCAGGACAGAGCCAGATGGAGAGCTGCTGTCAAGAAGGGGGCTAAATCCCATGAAGCTAAGAGAATAACCACGGCTGAGACACGCAGGCTTGTCCGAAAGAGCAACATTAGGTCATCGTCTGAAGCAACTATTCCATGCCCACAGTGTCATAGATTATTCCGAGCAAGGATCGGTCTAACAAGCCACCTAAGAGCTCACCGTAATCCCAACCCCCCCGCCCGCCCCTAACCGGATGATTCGATGGTCCTTGTCGACTTCGACGGACGAACAACAACATGTCAAACTCCTATGTCAAACTCCTATGTCAAACTCCTATGTCAAACTCCTATGTCAAACTTTTATCTCAAACTCCTATGTCAAACTCTTATGTCAAACTCTCATGTCAAACTCTCATGTCAAACTCTTATGTCAAACATCAGAGGGTGAGATCTAGATAAGTTAACAATCATCTATATCTAAACTTATCACTTTTACATTCTGCCAGTGTTTAAGGTCAAGTTTTTTTCTAAAATTCTGCATCTTTAGGTGCATTTATGTGAACTGTTTAACAAGCAGAGATGAGTTATGTCAACATAGTTGATTAGGACTAATCTAATATAAGAGGTTTATTTTATCTTATCTCTCTCTTATACTATATTTGTACTTGAAGAACATTTTTTTTTATGATTACCTTGCAAGCACAGTAAGATACAATGGTCATGATATTATCTTTGAAAGTGTCTAACATGATGGGAGGATAAACACATAGCTAGTTACAAAACTAAGATTCAAAGAAAAGGAGATAAATTAAAGTGCAATTTTACCTGTGATACCTGTGGGCATGAGGGAGATATAGTAAGAGTCTCTGTTCTCCCAGGAGACTGAGAGCCCAATAAGAATGCTGCAGGTGTCTGGTATGGGAATACCAGATACATGAGAACTCTCCTCGATACGCGGAGACTTGGCTATGAAAGACAAAAATGTTTTGGGTTCATAAACAAATTTAATCCAATCTAAAAGTTATCATAGTTCCTTATCGCTAAAACATTTCCTTTAGAACAAGATGGGGATTAGAGAAAGTATAATTTGTGTGCTGCATGGCGAATGTGGCACACAAAGTCTTGGCCACATTGTGTGCACTTATTTTAAGAAACAATTCTTCTTTTTTTCCTATCCAGGAATTGTATTTTTAAACACATATAAAAGCAATCACTTAATTTCATTATTTTAAATGACTGACAATGGTTAATAAAACATACAATTTTCAGAGTGCTGGGAAATAAACCTACAACAACTGTATGCAATGTAAAAAAATGTATTGGGTTCTAAAAAAAAATGTTGAGTAATTGGAAATTTCACTATGCTACCTCTGAAAGTCATCAGCCTTGGGATAAATTAGGCCTGATTGAAAGCTTTGATGATGCACTTTGTATAAATAAACCCGATTAATAGTTCTGTCAAGGTACTTGGTAATAATTAGGCCTGATTGATATATTTGTCGATGTACTTGGTATAAATTAAGGCGGATTGAAAGCTTTGTTGATGTTTTTGGTAATAATTAGGCCTGATTGAAAGTGAAAGCTTTATTGATGTCATTGATATAAATTAGGCCTGATTGAAGGTATTGATGTCATTGGTATAAATTAGGCCTAATTGATAGCTTTGTCAATGTACTTTGTATAAATGATGCCTGACTGAAAGTGAAAGCTTTATTGATGTAATTGGTATAAATTATAAAATCATTAGGATTAACTTCTTGATGGCTTTCCTAAACATTCTTCTTAGATCTTTCATTGATGAACTCAAAGCTCTCTTTGTTTCTTTACCTTTTTACTCTCACTCTTAAATTCCACAAGCTATTCTTTATGCTGCAAATAACAGGGGGTTTTGAACTGTCATTTTAAATTTTCTAACCAAGATGATATGATTATCTGAAAACACTTTTTTATATTTGTTTAATTGTACTTTAAAAGCTGACTTGCCTTTCTTAAGAAACTTTCCACCAATTCCTGTGCTGGATCGCCTTACACTCTCTGGTGGTTTCTTCTCACAAGCCAATGACAAAGAATAAGATGGCTGCAGCTTCCACTCTTTCAGAAAAGTCTCAAACAAAATCCTATTGGCACAAACATCAATGATGGTGAAGGACTGCTGAGAGAGAAGCTGCGAGGCCATTGCCTGGTTGTGCTCTGCATGTGACTGGTCCCCAACATCACACATGTCATCTGTGCTGTCATCTGTGCTGTCATTTGTCTCAGTTTGATGAGATTCAACTGTTAGTTTCCCTCTCATTGTTGCAGCTATTCCAAGATTTTGTTCAACACACTTTTCTCCAGGTGGAGACTTGGTTGTTTTCTTTCCAGCCCTTGAAATAGATTCTTTGACATTGTTAACCCTTGTGGGTTGTTCAAGTCTATTGTTAACCCTTGTGGGTTGTTCAAGTCTATTGTTAACCCTTGTGGGTTGTTCAAGTCTATTGTTAATCCATGTGGGTTGTTCAAGTCTATTGAGACTCTCCATAATGCTTTGATTTTCTGTGCAAATCTTTTTGTTTTTCTCTTTTATTATCGTGAAAGGCTCCGTCCGTCCGGGCTTGGCCTCTGAATGTTCTAATGTTTTAGGAACCTTGGGTCTCAGAGGAGAATAAAAGGAAAACTTGAATGGGGAGACTAGACTTGTTGCTTCATTAGGAGGAGTAGGGGGCACACAGTCACTGCCATCATTTCGTGATGAGTTGTTTGAGCTGGGCTCCATCGTTCCACCACTGTCACTGATGCCTGTTCCTTTCATGTTTGTTTCAAGCTCATTATGTCCTGTAGTCTTCTGTTCCTCTTTGGGCCTGTGTTCTTTCGCTAAACCCTCACACTGTGCTATGACTTTGTCCATTAGAGAGGAACTAAAGGAGTCTTGGAAGAACTCATCCTGTGATTCTTTCCTGTTATTTTTTAAAGAAGCCACCACACCAACTTGAGCATTCTTCTGTTTGTTGATTGGAGTTATCTCTGCTTTATTGGAGTTTCTGTCTAAAGTCCCTATTCTGAGATTGACACTTCTGGTACCCAGAGGTATTTTGGGGGTTGAATTTTGAGGTACCTTGCACTGCAAATTTTGGGGGATTTGAGTTATGACAGGAGAAACATTGAAGGAATCACTCATTTGAAGGGCAGCCATAAGATCTTCTTCACCAAGGGCATAACTGACGTCAGGTGATAAGCTACCTGAATTTCTCTCCGTTTTCTCATGTAAAATTGAACACCCTTGAAAAGGCTCATTACTTTCAGCCTTGCTTTTACCCCGCTGAAGTCTGTGACTCGCCTGAGAATTGCATATAATATGCAGGTCAGCGTATGAACTGTTTAAATCATCCACTTCATCTATTGCTCCATCATCTAGATGAATCAGCCTTTCATAGTTGCTGGCTGCTATCAGAGATTCCCCATCTTCACTATCAGAACTTACAGCATTGATTGTGTCATCTAACTCATGACAAGAGACCCCAGACTTCTGAGCCTCGTTTTCTACATCAGAGTCATCTCTTACCAAAGGAATATTAACCAAATGTTCATTTCCTAGAATTCCTTTAGGGGTAGAATCCATGAAGGCAGCTTGTTTACCAACTTGATTTACTTTCTGTTCCCACGGTGACAGTTTTTCTGAAGAATCAAAGAGGGATTCTGAAAAGATTTTGTCTGCATTATCCTCTCCTGTCCTAAGGATGGGGTGATTCTTGGATGCCGTCGATTGCCTTTCTTTGGAATTTTTTAAAACGCCCTCAGAAAAACTATCTAAAAATGGATCTGGGCTCTGACTGCATGCTAGACTGCTACAAGGGTTAGACTGACTCCTTTGTTGGCAAATTTGTCTTACAACTGACTCGAATGAAGTTGTTTTTGACTGCATGCAATCTTTCATGCCAATTTTCCTAACAGAATTCCCTTGGCATCTACTAACTGGCATAAGAGGTGCATTAGGTTCACTCTGATTCAACACAGCCCCTGACCTATTTTGATTGATAAGTATTTCTGTCTGTGTGTCCAGCACAATGCTCTCATTGAAACTAAAACTATCTAACCCTCCTGAAGACTCATCCACTGGGAGACTCCTACTCTGTATTGAATCCACGGGACCACAACTTGGTGATGGTTTATTTTTGTCATCATTCATTGAGTTGTCCGTTGTCCACCCTCCCTCTTGTATTGTATCTGTGTGTCTGCTATGACCTGACATTGTTGTGGCATCCTTGATGACACTGTTCGCTTTGCAACTTTTCTGTGCAGGGAAACCATCCATCATATCAGAGGTATCAACGTTTGCTTCAGTAGAGCTTCTGTTAACTTGTGGTGGCTTTTCTTCACTGTGTTCCTCTCTTATGATTACATCCGTGGCTGCAGCATCTCTTATGATGACATCCGTGGCTGCAGCATCTCTTATGTTGACATTTGTGGCTGTAGCGTCTCTTATGATGACATCCGTGGCTCTAGCATCTCTTATGTTGACATTTGTGGCTGTAGCATCTCTTATGTTGACATTTGTGGCTGTAGCATCTCTTATGGTGACATCCATGGCTGTAGCGTCTCTTATGGTGATATCCATGGCTGTAGCATCTTTTATGTTGATATCCGTCGCTGTAGCATCCAAGGAATTTACCATCACAGGACTGTCTATCAAATTACTCTGTCTCCTGAATTGACTATTGGTCATCCTGATACTCACAGGTGGGCTGACCACAACCTGACCAAAGAAAGATTTTTCTCCACTTTTGCGCCTTTTCAAACTTTGATTTGGACTCTTGTATTTTGGCATAGGTTTATCTCCCCCTTTACGTTTATGGACATTGTCTCCCCTACTGGAATTGAGTGATTTGATCCTATTCATTCCGACTGCGTCAAAACTGTTGGGTAAGTTTTCTTTACCCAGCTTCAAGTTACCTCTACCAGACTCTTGCAAACTGTCCACCTTGGTGGACGCCTGTTCACCAACGTTCACATCTCTTTCATTCAAGTGACTGCTGGGAGAGCATGGCACGTTTGCTGTGACTGATTCTGTCTGGTGACTGAGACTGGTGTCAACTTGGTCTCCACAAAGGTAAGCTGCATTTGAATCAAGGTGTTTCTCCACAGGATCCTTCTGACTCTGAGCAGTATCGGTTCCATCCAGACTCTCATTATTCCTCAGATCACTGCCATCTTCTGAGTCAGACTCTTCATCCGAATGGCTCTTGTCCTTTGACCCCCATGATATTCTGTTGACTCCAAGTTCACCTTGAATTATGACCTTGGCCTCCTCAATGATAACCAAGGCGGCGTCCATTTCCGTCACACCTTTCCTTCCAGTGAGCCAGATGCACCTGGCACGACGTCGCTCTTTCAGTTCCCAGTCTGTCTCTCCATCTTGTTTCTTCTCACTAAAGGTAAATATGATTGTAATTTATTACATTCAAGGTGAAAGCACAGGTGCTACAAGTCTTTATAGACCAGTTTTTAAGAACATGTTTCAAACAATTATTTAGAATCTAAATCCCTTTTTTTTTTTAAATCTTGCATCTGAGAAAATCGTTTTGTAACATTTGACCAAAAAGAGCTCTATATATTTTATCAACAAAAATATTCCCACTGTCTTTAACAAGTGCATTCAAATTCTAAAAATCTGCAGAAATGTATACAAGAAATAATGAGCATTCCTGTTCTAAAAGGCAAAGTTATTTTGAGAACCAAGCAAGGGGCAGACAAGGGCAGAGAGAATAGAGACAAAAAAATACAAACTAAAGGAATAATTCAAAGACTAATTGATTGAAACATGAACACCATAGAAAATCTAAAGTTAACAAAATTAATTATTTATTTCTAAATCTGCTCAAAAATAATTTTTTAAAAACAAAAACTTCCAACTACACTGACTTGATACCCAAGGTCAGTGGTTCCCAATCTATGCTCCTCAGAGTCCTAACGCCCCCCACGCCCATTTCTCATTGGCACCCCTGCCGCTCCAGGAAATAAAATAAACACCATTAACTTGTAAGACATAAGGGGATCCACGTTTGGGAACCACTGCCCTAGATGATTTTTTTAAAGCTTCAGTTTGACATTTTTATGTAGGTTACAAATTTTAATATGTGTCATGTGTCAATCCTGATCGAAGAAGAATACTTTTTATGTAGGTCACAAATCAGCCTACGTGTCATGAATCAAGATTTCAACCCTGATGAAAGAAAGCTTACAAGTACCTCTGAAAAGGTGCTGCTTTTTTGAAAAGGTTCTCAACATCCACAGCGTCCGCCCTGGCCACATCAGCAACAGTGTGGTAACCTGCATTGTACAACATTCTGGCACTGGATGCATTGAGTGCTTCAATGCGCACCAAATCGACCAGCTCTTGCTGCACACCACAGGATAAGCGCTTCTGAAACTGGGAGAGCAGGAGCTCCAGATTGTGCCAGCCCAATCTCCCACAAAACACTGTCACCATTCCTGTTAGTTGTTCAATAGGAAAAATCAATGCAATAATGAAAATAATGTAGCATCTTACTTGCAAATATCCATGGAATTCAATACTACACAAAGTGTAGTGCTTAAACTCTTATTTATCAGTCAGTGTCATAATTTTCATATTTACCTTGTTTCTTTTTTAAGCCTTGATTAAGTCATCTATTGTGGAAATGGCTCAACATCAATACAAATACCATTCCCACTTATGAAAGTAGCCTTCTTAAGAAAGTAGCCCAAAAAGTTATATTGCACCATAGACCAACAAGTACTTTTAATAAATTTTGCTGTTAAAATTTAGCAGATATAATAACTAATAAATCTACCAGCATAGGTCGAGGCAGACTGCTGGAGAGATTGGAGCTGTCCTTTATTACAATTAAATTTGGCTGCTACTTCCATGATAGGAGTTTCTTGGACCTGTTCATAAATCAAATAAACAGTTGACCTCCACTCATCAAAAATATTTTGTTTTTTATTAAATCTTTGCATCTAATAAGTTCAGTAATTAAATCAACTTTTATTGTGCTGCTAAAATTTTAGATTTTGAATGATTTTATTCAATACAAAAGTTATTTCTAATATTCTTAAATAAAATTTAAAACTAGAATCATTTAGAAGTAATGAATTAATGGACCAATTTTTTTTTTTTAATTTGGTATATTAATTTAAAAGTAATAATACATAATTTATTATAATTACCAGTATCAGTAATCAGCCTTGTTATCTTCTGAGCTCAGTTAAAAAAATTAATAAAAAGTGACGGAAGGTATTGAATTATTTTAACCAGTTCCAGAAACAAAATGGGGAAAATAAATGTTTTTCGCTCAGACAAACTTTAACTGAAAAATTAAGCGTTTCAGTACATTAGTAATGAATGATTCTCCCTCAAAGTGCTCAAGGTGAAGGACACCTTTAAAGATGTCTATAGAAGAAGCCCTGAATCTAAAGCATACCAGATAGTTCAGCACGAGGGCTGTATAAAATCTCTGATGTATACCCAGGGCCTTCTTCGCTGACTCTGTCTTCCCCAGACGCCCGCTCAAAGCCTTGCCAATGAAAGACTCTGACACACCCACTAATTCGGCAACTCGCCGGTCAGCTGGTGTCAAGTTCTCCCACAGGTTGTGGTAGTGGAACCAATCTATTGACGATGACACATCAGATGTGTACACAGGAGTTACCTGAAAATAAAAGGTTTAAATAATCCATATCAAATGTAGCATGACAGGCATAGCGGATACAACATGGCCAAAACAATGTGAATTGGGTGTTTTTCATACAATTCTGTTAATAAAAATAAAATATGCTTTTAAAGTTTACAATATATATTTAATTTCTTGAGTTGTTATCTGCTTAATCTAATTTGATTTTTAATGTTTTATAACTAAGAATTTTATTAAGTATCAATACATAGTCTAAAAAGGTTAAGAAAAATGCATCCATCCCCCAGTATCTGAGCCACATTTCTAACAAATGATACTTTATAAATAATTTAAAGTTCAATCGGTTCTAAACAAAATTTACGGTAAACAAATCTACTTCTCTTTTAACCACCCTGTACCTTCCCAACACTTAAGTTTGTAAGCTAAATGGTTTATTCAGATTTGTATTGTTCATAAAGAAAATATTTAAAACAAACCACAAAATTAAATTTTAGCATTTGGAAAAAAAAGTTCAAAGATTGGATTCCTTGAGCTGGAGAGCTCGTCACACGTCTGAACTGTTAAATAGATAGGTTAAATACCTGTATCCCTTTTAGTAGATTTCTTCTTGAAATATAACGGTCCCAGAAAGTTTTCCCAAATGATAGTTACATCACCAATAAATAGATTTGGTAACCTTAGTGACAGTGAATTGAGTAAACAGCTGCAGTTCATGAATGAAGTGACATGAAAGAAGTGACACTCACCAAGTAAATTGTATGAAGTTCTGTATCCAGAGCAAAGGCTCGTCGAGCTTTCTGTAGTTCAGCAAATACAAGCAGCCCTTCATCCGGTGAGAGGGAAGAGGCGAGGATTGCTGCACCCAACTGAGTGGGGTAAAACTTGTTGGTTTCTGAGCCATCTAAAGACGGGATTAAGATTAAGACTTCTGGGTTTCTGAGCCATCTAAAGACAGGATTAAGAATATGACTTGTTGGTTTCTGAGCCATCTAAAGATGGGATTAAGAGTAAAACTTGTTGGTTTCTGAGCCATCTAAAGGCAGGATTAAGAATATGACATATTGGTTTCTGAGCCAACTAAAGATGGGATTAATAATAAAACTTCCTCATAGAACTGACACACTGATATCTATAAATTTATTCTAAAATTTTGTAGGACATATTTTAAAAAGGGAGTTTTTTGTATGCAAATTGTGGCTTTTAAAAAGTTATATGTTCTTTGAAAAATGGGTGTTGTTGATGTTTTTAATGTTGCGTATTTTAATTAATTTTTATATGAAAGCAAGCGTGAATCGTATTATAAAGTTTAAAAAGTATTTTAAAATTGGTTATGCTGCAGGTGAAAAAAATGTTAAAATTAAATTTTTTATATGAAATACCCAATTTAGCTTTCAGTATCAAATCCAATTACCTTCTTTTTGAGACACTTGCACAGTGACAAACTCATTCTCTTGGAGGTATTTTATGCAGCTTTCTACCAGTGCTGTTTTGACTTGGCCAAGACCATTGCCTTCCAGTGACACAGACAAAAGTGTGCAGTCAATGTAAGTTACAACATCTTCAACTTTGGGGGCCACTCCACTTACCACAATCTGGAAAATGTGCAAAGAATCATATCATTATCATAAAAGTATATATACTCTCTGTTCAGCTCAAAGACTGAACCTTCATTCAAACACATGGCTCCTAAAAAAAAAGATCCAAGACGTCCTATTATGTACATTTTCAATGGATCAGTTTCATAGCCAACAGAACAACCATGCTTTTGGTTTCAATCAATATTCAAACCAATATAAATAAATGAATAAATGTAGTTGTCACATAACAAATGTTTACTAAATGTAATGCATAAAATGTAAATAGCAGTTTCCAATGTTTCAATGCCTCCTGCTAAAAGCTTGACCCCCATCTTTTATTGAACATTCATTAAAGTGACAAATAAGGTAGACAATAAAATGATACCTCCAGGATAAGGTTGACAATAAAATGATACCTCCAGGACAGCTCTCTTCAAACTGCTGCTGAGTCCTTCTTTCACATTGAACTGCAAACAGCTTTCAACAGCAGGAAGTTCAGATTTCAATAAATTTTTGGCCTTAGCTTTCTCCTGTGCTTTGCAAATGAGAATGCTCTCCCCTGGTCAATAGTGAAAGATAGTCAGTATAAAGTTGCTTTTATTTATCATGTCATACCCATTCAAGTTGAGCTAGACTAAACAGATAACCTTGCATGTTAATGTGGAGACAGGTAACCTTGTGTTAGGATGTATACTTGTGTGTAAAAGTGGTTACCTTGTGTTAGGATGTATACTTGTGTGTAAAAGTGGTTACCATGTGTTAGGATGTATACTTGTGTGTAAAAGTGGTTACCTTGTGTTAGGATGTATACTTGTGTGTAAAAGTGGTTACCTTGTATTAGAGTGCACCCTTGTGTGTTTAGTGGTTACCTTGTGTGTCAACCCCTTTCCTTCCTGCTCTACCCGCCATCTGCTTATAGGTAAGGGTGTCAATAAGTTTTCCATGAAATATGGGCGTCCTAATGATGACTCGGCGAGCTGGTAAGTTAACCCCAGATGATAGAGTTGAGGTAGCAATGAGGACCTTGAGATGACCTTGCCTGAAAGCTCCTTCTATAATGTCCCGTTCATCAAATGTCAGACCTGGTCAATATTTTTTTTTTATTATTCATAAGATTCTCCTGACAACCAATAAGACACAACAGGTTTATAGAATAAATGCTCTTTCTGTTTAGTAGATTTTATTAGATTTAGTAATCTTCATCCTTGCTAAGCAATTATAATTATCATGGCTCATGCAGGAAATGATGATTTTATTAGATTTTGTATTTTGATCCTTGCAATTAAATTCATAATTATCATATCTCATGCAGGAAATGATGATTTTATTACATTTTGTATTTTGATCCTTGCAATTAAATTTATAATTATCATATCTCATGCAGGAAATGATGATTTTATTAGATTTTGTATTTTGATCCTTGCCAAGCAATTATAATTATTATATCTCATGCAGGATATGATGATTTTATTAGATTTTGTATTTTGATCTTTGCAATTAAATTATAATTATCGTATCTCATGCAGGAAATGATGATTTTATTACATTTTGTATTTTGATCTTTGCAATTAAATTATAATTATCATATCTCATGCAGGAAATGATGATTTTATTAGATTTTATATTTTGATCCTTGCAATTAAATTTATAATTATCATATCTCATGCAGGAAATGATGATTTTATTAGATTTTGTATTTTGATCCTTGCAATTAAATTATAATTATCATATCTCATGCAGGAAATGATGATTTTATTAGATTTTGTATTTTGATCCTTGCCAAGCAATTATATGCAGGAAATGATGATTTTATTAGATTTTGTATTTTGATCCTTGCCAAGCAATTATAATTATTATATCTCATGCAGGATATGATTTGAAACATGGTTACAAAATAACTAAATATTATAATTAAAAAGCTTTGAATAGAGGCAAGTTTTGGTTTCTTTCCATTCATAGAGTCATCTTTACTGTTCCTGGGATCACACATAGTAAAAAACAAACAAAAAATGATTGGGAATAGGTACAATTTTTGGCTAGTATTGCTAAACACTAACCACTTTTTCATTGAAGCCTGTAAAAAAGCAGTTAGTGTTGTTGTTTTTTTTTCAATTTTCCAAATGTTGATTGTCAAAAGATACTTTAAAAAAAGATATATTACCTGCATGGTGATAAGCAACTCCATTGAGGACACACCTGGCCAACATAGGGTCAGCTCCTACCGGACAGCGTCCCAGTTGCTCAACTGTTTCCATCAGACCCTCTCTGTCTAGGGTTATTAATATTCCACTTGCAACAATGGGTGCACCATCATCTGCAGATACCATTGATCATTTTGAGCACATGAAAAATAAGGAATGAGAATTTTAAAAACTGAATGATGTACTAAATGTTTCATGAAAAGTTGCCTTTAACCACTGATAAAAAGGGAAAACTTATCACTACTTTTCTTTTAGGTGCATTTTTCCTGCTTTTACATTGAAGATTTTGGAGGGTACTTAATAAGAAGAAAAATATAACATCAATAGTTGTAATACAGCTTAAAACTTGAGGCTGTGACAATATGCAAATTAATTGTGCTAATCACATCTCTTTCTCATCTAAACTTATTCTTCATAACATTATATTAAATAGCTTCATGTACTTTCATATAATATTGGGATACCTGTCAGATTAAAAAAAGAAATGGTCCTGGATTTGGAGGCTTACATTGTTCCAGCAACCATTTCTTATCCCTTAGTTGTGCATGAATACCATAGCAACTGGAAGTTTTCCAAATATTATGATTTTAAAAAAACTGAAGAAATTCGTTTTGATGAAAGATTCCCCATTTAGTTCTGTAGTCTACCCCACTCACAACTTTTTGATCAACAGTATCACAACCCAAGTCTAGTAATACATTAGTTTTTATCATCCTCCAATTTGAATGCATGTTATACCTGAAGATCTCAGCACATTAAACAAAGTATAAATCATTTAAACCATAATGTTGAAAACTCATGTGCCTTAGAGAAATAATAATAGGTAAATAAACTACCTTTTCTCTCTTGAAGTTCAGCCTTGGTGTTCTCGCTGATTATTGCATAAAACCTCCTGGCCACAGACTCACACAGGTTTTCACACCAGATTTTTGTTGGACAAAAAATGAGAGCGGCATGACCAGCACTCACTGTCTCCAGGCAGAGGGCGGTCACATGATCCTGGTCATCTGGGAAGGTCAGCAAAGCTGGTATCTCCCTCTGCACCAACAACTGACCATCTAGTATCTTGTTGTCAATTTTTAGATATTCTGTGAGTGGCACGGGGCGGTAGTCAGTATGGTAGAGAGATGCCTTCAACCACGTGGCCAATAGATGGAGATTAGGTAGTGTGGCGCTCATTCCTATGATCTGCACTTTGCTCTCAGCATTACCATTGGTGGCTCTATGAAAAATGTAGATATAAGCAAACTAAAAAAGAAGTATTGAAAATTGTAGAAAATTACGGTTCTGCAACTTTACTATATCATTTTAATGAACTCATCCCAAAGAAGGATTCCCATACTTCATTGCTCTGCTTATCTCTGTGAGTTTTTATTCCTCCTGGCGGAGATGACTTTATAAATTCAAAACATCCCAAATAAGTGATTTTGTCCATCATAAAATACTATTTAAGCCCAAAATAATTTTGCAGGTTCCCGTCTAGAACAGTGCTTTACAAGCTTTTTCTTACCTTTGAAAACAAAATAATTTATAGTTGGAGCACCCTGCCTAGCTTTTCCTAACAATTACATATATATTTGATCACATATTTAATGCCATTCCAGGATTGGTCTCACCAGCCACACCAAGAGCTCCAAGCAATAAAGATAATCTATCGTCTCCCGCAAACGGAAAGATGCCATACATACATATATTTAAAATAAAAGCAAGTGCAAAGGAGAAGTGTCATGAATACAATGGCCCCTTATTATTGCTTTTTGTTAGAACTGATGAAGACATTTGACTTCTCTTGCTCTTATTGGAAATTGTCTTTCAACCCCCACCCCCATATGGACTGCTCATAATAAATCATGATTCAGTGCTCAGCAAATGCTTTATTTCAAAGCGTGCGTATCCTTGGGGCTCCCCAGGGCTGAAAAACTTCTCACCTAGAACCTTCCCTTGTTCCATGATAAAATAAATAGATATCCAAAGAAATGTGTGATCTCACAGCCGTTCACATACTGTTACCTGTGTGTGGTCTCCCACAGCCGTTCACATACTGTTACCTGTGTGTGATCTCCCACAGCCATTCACATACTGTTACCTGTGTGTGATCTACCACAGCCGTTCACATACTGTTACCTGTTTGTGATCTCCCACAGCCATTCACATACTGTTACCTGTGTGTGATCTCCCACAGCCATTCACATACTGTTACCTGTTTGTGATCTCCCACAGCCATTCACATACTGTTACCTGTTTGTGATCTCCCACAGCCATTCACATACTGTTACATGTGTGTGATCTCCCACAGCCATTCACATACTGTTACCTGTTTGTGATCTCCCACAGCCATTCACAAACTGTTACCTGTGTGTGATCTCCCACAGCCATTCACATACTGTTACCTGTGTGTGATCTCCCACAGCCATTCTCATTCTGTTACCTGTGTGTGATCTACCACAACCTTTTACATACCTGTTACCTGTGTGTGATCTCCCACAGCCGTTCCCATACGTGTTACCTGTGTGTGATATAGGCCAGCTTGGTCAGCATCAGTTCCAGCAGATAACCTCTGTGTGAGTCACCGACCATATGCAGCTCATCAACAACAACAGCTCCTGGCAAGGTAAAGGAAATAGTAGAACAAGGTATCTGGAAGCTTGAATCAGAATGACAGGACAATAGGAGAAGAATGTTACAGCTAAGAGCCTTCCTTGCCAGANGTGGTTGTTTTGGATAAAACTTTATTGGAGGGACTGTCTTTTTGAAAGCTTCTAAAATTTAGATTTCTACGAACTAAAACGTTTATTTCTGAGGATTCCTCATCCATTATATTCAAGTCACACACATTCTCTGCACTGCCGCCAGGGGTGGAGCACAGCGGAGAGAAACTTATGTTGGAAATATTAAGTTTCTCTGCAGAATTAGCCTTGGACAAAAGATTGACTTTTTGTTTAGACACAGGAGTCTTCATCTCAAAGTCACTGTGTTTAGAAGGCTGCACATCTATGTTCTTATGTACATCACATAATAAGTGTTCAGTTATCACACTATGCTTTATTCTCTTATCTACTGGACTGCTTGTGGGGGTATGTGACAATTCTGAAAAGGCACAAGGCTTGATATAAGTGAGTTTCTTACCACTTACGGAAGTTGGGGTACTTTTTAAATATTTGCGTTTGCCTGTCCCTTGCTTTACGTCTTCTGCTCTTTGGTGGAGGGTGGTGACCTCTTTAAGACAAACGTCAAGACTGTTATTGGCCAAGGCTGAGATTCTAACATTTGAAATATTTGCTGGTGGCCGCAGTGAGGGCTCTTCAACAACAACAGGGACAGATTTTGATTTACTGTCTGCTTTTTTTGTTTTGACATTCAATGCCGCTTCAATCTTCTCGGCCTCCAAGACCAGATCAGAATCCAAGGATGCAGAAAATGATGATGAAAAAGATGCTTGAAGATCTGCTTTAACAGCACAATGATTATGTTCCTATGTGGACAAAATATGTTTAGAAGAATACATAACAAGAATGACTGTAAGCTAAAATACTTGGGATAATAATGTTTAGATCAAGGGTTACTTTAACTTTCTTATTTGTAAAATATATTCTTTTTTTTTTAAATGTTCTTTACAAAATATAAGATATTAAGCTCTCCTTAATAAAATATTTCAAATTAGCTTTACATTGATAAGTTTAATTATCTTAAAATTTACATGATTTAAAGATTAGGTTAGCAATTTAATGGAACATTCATATGAGGAATTTACATTGATGAATATTACTATTTCACATGGACATTCATATCATGTCTCCCTGCCATAATGATGTTTAAATAGCATAACATTTGACTAATTCAACTATTAATAATGCTATGAAAATAACTATTCCTTTTTAACTTACAACAAGCAATGATGATTTTTCCCAGTTACTTTTGTTAACAATGACAGAAGTGGCAGATATAGGGAACCTGCCCAATCGCCTTTTTCCCTGAGACACTTTAAGACCAGCATCTTTGAATAGTGCAAACAGCAACATCAACAGAAGACAGGCCACCAGCTGGTGAGTAGCTTCCCATGTAGCCTCCAACCCTTATCCCTGCATCTTGATAGAGACGCTGGCAAATACACAAAAAAAGCAAAGTTAAAAAGAGTTCATAAAAAATCACTATGTTTTCTCTTAAATTTCATAGACAAATTGTTGAAGTTAATGACTTATTATAACCTATAAAAAATTGCAGACTTACTTGGAGTGAGTACATCTTCTCCCTTGCCACAGACACAAAGGGAAGAATTATGAGCGCCTTTTTTCTAGTCTCCACAACCCTTTTCAAGACAAGTAACTCTGCAACAAGAGTTTTCCCAGCACTTGTTGGGGCAGAATAAACAAGATTACCTCCCTCTGAAAAATCATAGTTAATCAGTTGTATTCATTTTGTTCTCTTTGAATTAGAAAAAATGCTTCAGATGATTGTTACAGACAAGAAGTAATGTCACTAAATTGTTATTAATATTGATTACCTACAATTTTTTTCTCTTCACTCATGTAATTAATTGTAAAGTTATTTTAGGTTTTGGATCGGATTACCAAGAACTTGAGCAGTGAGCAAGCATTCCGCTTGCCACTCAAACATAGTGGTCACCCCTTGGTTCTTATATGCTTCTAAAACTGGGTGAGGTAAGCCCCACGAGCTCAGCTGTCTTTTGTCTTGAGTTAAACTTGTATTCACTACAGCAGAAGAAATGTGTACAATTTATATTTTACTAGGCATTTCGTAGATGATGAGCTATTTGTTGAGAGAGAAATTATCCACTAATAAGTTGCATTGAACCAAAAAACTATAAGAAATAAAAAACAAACTTATATGAAACTTATTTTGTAATATGTAACTCAAATCAAAGTGGCTATTCGTACCCGGGTACCAGAAGTGAGAGGTTGGGATTAAAACACTATTTAAAATTTTATTGTTGGGTTTGTAAGACAAAATGAGGTATCAAATGAAAGATAATTGAATGGACTATGTGTTTGTAAACTTAATTCTTCAGTTTAACTAACTTAACTACCACAAATGACATCTGAATAGAAATGAGTCAAAATGGACACAGACATGCAGCTCCGCCATTCGCAGCCATCTTAAATATACCGAAGTATTAAAAAATGAATTTAAATTATTACTTTTATTTTTATTTAAAAATATATTTTATATTATATTATATCTTATAATTTAATATAGTTGATGCTTACCTGAAGTTTCTAAAGTAAAGCTAGTGGAAATTACAATTGAAGCACCAAGATTTTTCTCAGAATCCGTCCCTGCCTTGCTTCCTTTCCCATTCGGCACTAAATCTGCATTTCCCTGTGAATGCTTGTCATTTTGTGGAGAAAGGTTTATTTTTTCAACAGAGTTCATTGACCTCACAGTTCTTGAACTTGGTCTTTTTTTATTTACACTGGTTGAGATAGGTTGTATTTTACTTACACTGGTGGAAGCATGTTGTATTTTACTTACACTGGTGGAAGCAGGTTGTATTTTACTCTGTATCTTAACTGATATATTTTTTATGCTGGTGCTATTATTGTTAGCTGATTTCTTAATAACTGTTTCATCTTGTGTGGGTTTTTTGGGTGAGCTGGACCCCAACGTGGACTTTCTCCCTCTTCTTGTAATAGTGACAACTGGGGAAGAACTGCTGAGGTACGGGCTGGATCTTTTCTTAGCCATTGTTGTCTTCACTGTAGAACTACTGTTGCCAGATTTTTCATTCGAATGTGAGCGAGATAAGGGGGAATTACTGCTATTTATTATTGTTGTAGAGTCGTAATGATGGATCACTTCAGGTTCAATAGATGTAAGTTTGCTATTATTCACTTGGATCATGTTGGCACCGGTGGTTGTTTTGGATAAAACTTTATTGGAGGGACTGTCTTTTTGAAAGCTTCTAAAATTTAGATTTCTACGAACTAAAACGTTTATTTCTGAGGATTCCTCATCCATTATATTCAAGTCACACACATTCTCTGCACTGCCGCCAGGGGTGGAGCACAGCGGAGAGAAACTTATGTTGGAAATATTAAGTTTCTCTGCAGAATTAGCCTTGGACAAAAGATTGACTTTTTGTTTAGACACAGGAGTCTTCATCTCAAAGTCACTGTGTTTAGAAGGCTGCACATCTGTGTTCTTATGTACATCATTTAATAAGTGTTCAGTTATCACACTATGCTTTATTCTCTTATCTACTGGACTGCTTGTGGGGGTATGTGACAATTCTGAAAAGGCACAAGGCTTGATAGAAGTGAGTTTCTTACCGCTTACAGAAGTTGGGGTACTTTTTAAATATTTGCGTTTGCCTGTCCCTTGCTTTACGTCTTCTGCTCTTTGGTGGAGTGTGGTGACCTCTTTAAGACAAACGTCAAGACTGTTATTGGCCAAGGCTGAGATTCTAACATTTGAAATATTTGCTGGTGGCCGCAGTGAGGGCTCTTCAACAACAACAGGGACAGATTTTGATTTACTGTCTGCTTTTTTTGTTTTGACATTCAATGCCGCTTCAATCTTCTCGGCCTCCAAGACCAGATCAGAATCCAAGGATGCAGAAAATGATGATGAAAAAGATGCTTGAAGATCTGCTTTAACAGCACAATGATTATGTTCCTATGTGGACAAAATATGTTTAGAAGAATACATAACAAGAATGACTGTAAGCTAAAATACTTGGGATAATAATGTTTAGATCAAGGGTTACTTTAACTTTCTTATTTGTAAAATATATTCTTTTTTTTTTAAATGTTCTTTACAAAATATAAGATATTAAGCTCTCCTTAATAAAATATTTCAAATTAGCTTTACATTGATAAGTTTAATTATCTTAAAATTTACATGATTTAAAGATTAGGTTAGCAATTTAATGGAACATTCATATGAGGAATTTACATTGATGAATATTACTATTTCACATGGACATTCATATCATGTCTCCCTGCCATAATGATGTTTAAATAGCATAACATTTGACTAATTCAACTATTAATAATGCTATGAAAATAACTATTCCTTTTTAACTTACAACAAGCAATGATGATTTTTCCCAGTTACTTTTGTTAACAATGACAGAAGTGGCAGATATAGGGAACCTGCCCAATCGCCTTTTTCCCTGAGACACTTTAAGACCAGCATCTTTGACACTCGATATAGACTCTGAAGGAATTTCAAAAGATGGTTTTTGTTGACGCCAAGTGGAGGTTAACTTCTGCATAGTCACAAAAGCCTGAAGGATAAAATATATAACATTGAAAGAAGTCAACAATATTTACCACTCTGCGAACATAAAATATTGAAAGAAATGTCTGGAAAAATTATATCAAGCATACTTTATTCTTTAATTCAATATAACTTTTTAACATCATTGAAAAACGTTTGTAAATGAAGTAATTAATTAATTTGTAAAATAACTGAAAAGTATGCTGCTAGAGTAAAAAAAAAAATTGTTTAAATTTTTAATTAAAGAAGAGGTGGTGGGGGGGGGGTTGCGAGCTGGCGCGCCCCCTCCAGGTTTATTTTGCTACATTTTTAAATGTTGGCAAATCAGTCTTTAAAGGAAATCTTAAAATGAATCATGACAGTAAAAGGCAATATTTTAATTTGAATGATGAATAGGCAAACAAAATTTTTGTATAGTCTAATCAGGATCCCACGCTACAAGCAAGGATGGACATTTTAAAAGAATGCCAAATGACAGAGGAGTGAAGAGGGTGCACCACAAAACTCCAGAGAAAAACGGCTCAAAGGCAGACCTAGGCTTAGATGGATGGTTTGATGTGAAAAAAAATCTAAAGTCTAAAACTAAAGTCTAAAACTAAAAAGCAGCTGCTGGGAATCCAAGTCCAAGCATGGAAAAGAAACTTACTTAAAACTTAGTCTTCTAAACTAAAGTAACGCTAAAGTTACTTTATACTAGTACTAGTAAAACTTAAAACAAAACTTTTTTTTAGTTACTTTACACTTTACTTTCTTTACTCTTTACAGACTTTACAGTTGCGTTACACAGTTGTTTACAGTTTACGTTTACGGCATTACAATTACAAGTCTTCAGCTTCACAGACAGGTCTTAGGCCGCTTACGCCCAAGACTTAGACCAACTTAGACTAAGACTGGGACAACTCGTTAGTCAAGTTCATAATTCATATCGGATGATAATGTGTAGTTGTCATTGTTACAAGTTTAAATTATCCGCCATTACAAAGTTAGATATGCTAGTGGAATTTTTTTTGTTTTTCTAAGAAGTACTTCGTTTCGTTTTAACTTTCGTTGTTGTTTTTGCGTTGTTATTGTTGAATGTTTTACAAATGGCGTCGAAGTCGCATACTCTTGATAGCCGCGCAGAACTGAATGAGCTTGTACGCAGACGATCGGAAATCGCTGTAAGTTGACTTTCGTTGTTGTTTTTGCGTTGTTATTGTTGAATGTTTTACAAATGGCGTCGAAGTCGCATACTCTTGATAGCCGCGCAGAACTGAATGAGCTTGTACGCAGACGATCGGAAATCGCTGTAAGTTGATCAACATCGTTCCGATTTATCGTAAAATTATTGGAATCATGGCATAAGTTGTTTAATCTTGAATATTAACGTCATATTTCGAGATAGTATAATCAGGCTCATAATACAGGCTTACTTTGGACCATAATTTGACTGGACACTTTTCTGAATTTCCACTTTGTGTTACTTTTGGGGTATTTATACTTTACAGACATTAAAATTTGGATTTTATATATTTTTTTGTATTGTAAAAGATAATTAATTATAATAATTACTCTTACTGCTATTAAAATTGGTATTTTTATAGGGCCCACATTTTAACATTAATTTATATTATTATTATTGTGATTATATTAATTTCAGTTTCAGTTGGTGTTAGTTTAGCATTAGGCATTAGTAGTGTAAGTAACTCAAGTAACTTAGTACTGTACTTTACTAGCGTTATATACTGTATAATAGATACTTTGGTAAAAAATTTAAACATTTTGTAAAAATAAACCAATGGCATAGTTGAATTGAATAGAGCTAATTTTTTACAGAATTATAACACCTAAATCATATTTTTAGCTGTTGTATTTTTAAAGTTATGAATTTTTAAATTACGACTTGGTTTGTCCTTTTTTAACATGGACTCCATCTCCACATTCTGTGACCTCATTCCGCTGATCGCGTCATGCGCAATGACTATATAGTTTATATAAGGCAACACATCCCCTTATCACTAAAGTACTGTTAAAATAGGTTCGACTTATTTTAAACTTTTAACTTTGGCACATGAATAATTAATTAAAGCTTTCCCTGACCAATGGTTTAATATTTATTGTACACGGCAAATTTTTATGAATGGAACTCTGAGATAGTACTACGACATAGCCGTTATGCAAGTGGCTGTGGTTGCCAATGACAACGTGTTGCACATGGAAAATTCTGATCATTTATGATATGGACTCTACAGGGTTTTTAAAGCTCAAATTAAAACATTCCAGTTTAAATGTCTTCAAAATGCATTCTGAAACACAAGTTATCAAATATTTTGATGTATATAGTGGCAATAATTAAATATTTCCTAAGTATCTGCAACTTCCGCCATTAAAAAGGGGACGTGGCCCATGCCATGTCGAAATTAGACTGAGCGACCTTATGGTAATGCAGGTTACTTAGACATGCGTAGCGAACGTTGGACACGACCTACATCAATGAGAATTTGCATACATACACATCAATATATTGTGTTTATCAGAATTTAATATGAAAATTAAAATTACATGCATATAAAAAAATTAAAAACTCTGATTCTATTGCGCCGACGCCCATTTCCGATACAAATTTTCTGGGAGTGTCTCTTGCTTCGACAAAGTATCTACTGTATTGCACACTGTAACCCCATTGTGGGTATACCAAATGAATTATGAATTGGCCCATAAAACATTGGTTTAAAATGTTAAACCAGGTATAGTTGAATAGTTGGAAAGTAGAATAGTTCTTACTTTTTATTGAAATAAAATAAATAAGAAATATGAAAGCTTAAATTTTGGGGAATTTTTTAAATACTTAAAATGTTTGGTTCAGCCTTCAACGTCAAATGTTTCAAACAATACTAATGAAAGTGATAGCATTTGAAGTGAAAGTGATAATAATCGTGATATTGAAAATGAGAGTTGTGACGATAGTGATAGTAATAGTGAAGCATCTGCAAAAGAGTCTCTTCCCTGGAGTGCTACTCTAACTACTCTTGATCCAGTGGAAATTGACATCAAGAGTTGTGCTTAAATTTAATTTTTAAAATCTCAATATTGAATGTATTCATCTAATGTAAGAATATACCACGCCCCAACATCAAAGCTAATGTCCCATTTTAATTTTCTTATGGACATTTCCCGTAGCCTTATGAAAGGGTCTAAAAAAAGAAGAAGACATGTGGCGGTGCATGCTGCTGGTGGTTTGACTGTTTCAGGAACTTCTTTGGAGCATCACAGGATTCTGCTCCCAGGTCGTAAAAACTAAGTTTCCAGTATCAGCAGTAAAACATTGGCACTGAGTCAAACAAAAGAGTGTGTTTGGATGTGTTTTGTGTAATATACACCTTTATGATGAGTTTTGCTCATTTCCGTGGTGCAAAACTAAACTGAGGAACTGGTTTGATAATAAAAGCGAAGAAATTATCCTGTAAAATAGAATTTTTAACATAATTTTTTTAGTATGTATGTAGCTATATAACACACCCATACACATTTGGTATCATCTGATGGAATTTTTAACATATTTTTCAACTTTTATAATTTTTTGTACATATGTAACTATTTAATACACCAATAAATATTTAGTATCATCTGATAGATAAAATTCTAATCTTGGTGAGATGCATTGAATTTTGTAAAAGAACTTAATTAGTTATTTACAGTTCTTTCCCTTACCTTGGGTTAATAATATGGATGTTATATGGTAAAGGCAATGGGAAGTTAATGGTTAAGAAATGACCTCTTAAATCCACAGGTGGTGCAATGCTTTCAGGAGCTGATGTCTGAAAAACTTGATGTTACTTTTTAACTTTTTAAGAAATGTTGCTGGTTTCGAAAGGGCTAATTAACTAAGAAAATTGTTAAATATAATGTTTACTACTAATAACTAAAGGCTGTTAATATGGAGCTGATTGTGGTTGCAATGTTTACTATACTAGAAAATATAGAAAGGCAGTAATTTTTTTTAGTGACTTTTCTTTTTAATAATATTTTTTTAATTAAAATTTACTTCGATAATTGATAAGTACTTTTCCTTAAATAGCTGTAAAGAATAAACACTTTGTTATTGGAATATGATATTACTACTATCCAGTAATTGCAAGTACTTAATATTATAAGTATTTATTTTTGGTGGTGTTAAGCCTAGTATCATTTTACTCATAATGGCAGTAATTAACAGCAATAAAAATGATAAAATGTTATTACTTAAATTAGGGCCTAATACTTATCATTTTCTTTTACCAGGACACACTTCATAATTTAGAAAGACAAATCTATGCATTTGAAGGCAGCTATTTAGAGGATACTCAATTGTATGGAAACATCATCAAGGGATGGGACAGATACCTCACTAATACAAAGTTAGTATTATTATATTTTTTATTTCAAATATTGTATAAACATACTTATCTGTTTGAATAGCCATATTTTTCTCATTGTACCGGTATTAGTATTAGCTTATTGACATTGATGGAGTAATGTTGAATTTTTTTTTTTATTCATACTTTGGAGCAATGATATCTCTTTCTTTCATACTTTCAGAAATACTAATAGTAAGGCAGATAAACGTAACAGAAAATTCAAAGAAGCAGATAGATTATTCTCCAAGTCGTCGGTAACGTCAGCAGCAGTAAGTACTTAATTCAACATACTATAAATTATAAAATATGTGCAAAGTATTTATATTTATGTTTAATCAGTTTTTTATATGCTGTATTTTGTTAATTGTGAGTGTGTTATAAGTACCCTATGATTTTAAAAAAAAATATTTTGGTATCCTAATATATTATATAAATACATGTGTGCATTATTAGATGTGGGATTGCTTTATTTTTTTTTCTACTTCTTCTACAGGCAGTAGCTGGTGTTGCTGAGAATGAAAAAAGTATGTTGCATTTTTTAAATGTTTCTTCACATTCTTTTAAACACTTCTTTATCATTGTGCAATATTTTTTAAGCAGCATTTCCAATCTGTTGCTTACAAACAGAGAAGAGATAAAAACTTGTTGGTTTTTTTTTTGGATCTGGCAACTTGGATTTTATATTTTTGCCATCTTAGAAATAAAATTATATAAACAATATTAGACAAACATGGGGACTGACTAACGGTCAACATGTGATATAAAAAATTATTGTTAAACATGTGATGAATGAAAGGAAATTTAATCTTATTATTCTGAGTTCTGATGCAACTACTTTTCATTTGCTTTTGAAGGAGAGCCTGCGAGCCCAGAGTCTAACACAACAACACCAGCTGTACAAACTAATGGGGCAAGTTCTCCAACTGGCAGTACGGCAAGCAGTGGCAATATCCCAGCAAATACAGCATCTACCGGCAAAGTCATGAAATCTGCGTCCAAACACAAAAAGTCAGCTAAAAGCAAAGCAAGAAGCAGGTGAGGAAAGCTTGTTTTCGATAAGTTATTCAAAAAATTAAGATGTAAGTTTTTGTTTTAAAGTACCAAAATCTTTGCCTAACTGTATAGAGGGTGTTTCAACTCAAAAAAATACCGGTATTTCAGTTCTGAATCAGTATTTAACAAATTTTCATTTCTGAACATTATTTTTCAACGGCTTTTTGAAAGGTCTTAAACTACCAGTTGCTGCAAGGTTTGCTTGAGGACAATTCAATGGCTTACATTGGCAAATTTTAAGATAGTTAAGCACTGTGCCTCTTTACAAAATGTATACCAAAACTATTTGTGTGCCACATGTTTGATAACCTAGGGCTAGTTTTTTTATTTTTTATGACAAAAGAATGCAATACATTTAAATTTGTTTGCATCTGTATATATTTAATGAATCTCAAATTTGCCCCTGGTTCGACTATCAGTTCTTGGTCGATTATTATGTTATTGTAAAGAATGCAGAAAATTGTGGCGATTAAAAACATCTGTTGGGAGTGTCTTAATAATGGCAATCTCTGTGTACTTTTTTGTTCTACTATCAGATCTGAAGGTAAACAGAAAAAGGGCAAAGACTCCAACAGTTGTAAGTGACCATTGCAGAACAGTCACCTAAAACTCATATCATTCTATATAGTTAAACATCATGATCAGTTCTTAAAACATTTCCATCACATAAGTTTGTTTCTTAAAGTTTACCTTTAAATTTTTGCCTCTTCTACACTTTGACAATCTTATCATCTGGAGTTGTTTTATAATGTGTGATTTCTTGGATTAACTTATACTTTAAAATTAATCTTGCTTGAGGGAGGGTGCTCTTGATACAGAAAAGCTTTAAACATATAGTTTGAGAGATGAGAGAAATTGTGTTGTGTTCATGGACATTAATAGATCATGATGTATTTCTATATTGTTTTGTTCACTGATAGCCTTCATGATTCTTTTGTTGTTTCCACTTATGTTTCTTCTATTCTCTTTTTCTTACAGAGTGACGAGTAAAGTGCTTGCCTATCTGAACTCAAGATGAGATGAGATTTCATCATCCAGGCATTCACTGCTTCTAGCCAACATTTAACATTTTATGAGTTTGAGCTTGAAAGACTTCCTGTCAGGTTTCTCAGCCCTCATTTTGTGACAAGAGATAATGTACTCAATGCAGAGACATGTGCAGTGCTCAAGATGCTGTAACTGGATTTTCAATGTGTATTTTTCTATTTTACATATAGATATATAGATCTCACTCATTATATTATGTACAGAAATATCACTTTGTAAGGTGTATAAATATATTTGCATGTTAAGGTTTGTATTATGATGTTAACTGATGATGAATAATTGATGAAGAATGATGTAAGGGTTTGCACTGCCTGTTGGAATGTATGGTAAACACCTTACTGTTTCAACACTGTTTATCATATTTAGTTATTTAGAAATGTTTTAATAAACATCTTGTAAAATGGCAAATTTTTAAAATTCTAATTGTGACTGTTGGTCTTAGTATTTTTTTCAATATAATATATGTACCCTATATTTGCTAATTTTTCAGACCGACTATCATTTCAAACATAAATTATAGCAGAAAATTTGCATAATTTTTTTTATAAACGTTCTTGCAAACAATAATTTTGAGTAACTCAAGTCTGTGGTTACAGAGAAGATCAGTTTCTTAGTTAAACACAAGTATTACAGGATTTGTAATCTATAGCATAGAAACTATTTTAATTGGTCTCGTTTGTTGTTTGTCCTTCACATGCAGTTTTCCCGCACATGGACACACATTATTTTTTGTTTCCTTGCCTTCATTGGGCGTGAGCGGTGCTTTTACTCTTTGAGGATTTTGCTCCGACAGTGAGTCTGCCATGCCAGCTTGTACAGTCCATAGCAAGTATCTCCCACGAGTCATTGTGGATTTGTGTAAAGCTTGTAGACAGTCCTATAAATGTTTTTTTCTGCTCACAAGCTGAGCGTTTCCCACTGGAGAGTTCACCAAACATTAGTCGTTTTGGGTAGTCTGCTGTCTGGTATTGTTGTGATATGCCCTGCCGATCTGGCTTGTCTTTTCGTAGGAGCAGGAGGATGCTGATACAATAAGCCCATTGTGGAGATGGTGCTGCCCTAATATGTGAATTTTTCTACTGTTTGGAAACTCTGTCTCTTCATTGATATTTAGGCTCTTTCAAAGCTTTTCCTGGAGCTGGCTCGAGGATTTTTTTTGTATTGATGGCGAGGCCGTAGTTGTCACAAGCCTTTGCAAAGCGATCAAGTGTTTGCTGCATTTTTAGATCCGAACTTGCAATTTAGGGCACAGTCATCAGCGCTCTTTAACTTTCTTAACAGCTTGCAGTCTCCCAAGAATAAATAGCCGTCTCCTTCTGTCCGGTAACTTATAGGAATGCTGTCACTATTGTCAAGAAAAGCATCAGTCAGCATTGCTGAGAATACCATGCTAAAAAGAGTTGAGGCTAGAACGCAGCCTTCTTTTACACCTTTAAGTACAAGAAAAGCTACTGACTCATCTCCAGAATCCATCACCCTGGCCATCATGGAGTTGACGAACTTTTGGAACAAATCTACTCAGGCAGCCAAATTTCTCCATTATCTTCCACAGGTCATTTCTACTGACAGAGTCAAATGCTTTGGTCAGATCAACAGCGGTGATAAACATGCCACTGTTACTCTTGACATTTTTCCTGGAGCTAGCGTGCTGCAAATATCATGTCAGCCGTGCCCCTTTCTGATCAAAATCCACATTTGTTTTCAGGTAGTAGTCCCTGTTTTAGGTGTAGTTGTAAGCGATTTAGGACTCTGGCAAAGATGTTCTCAGTTATGGGAAGTAGAGAAATGCCTGGATAGCTGTCACAGGTTCATGGGTTTGGCAACTGTCTTTATTAACCTCTCTA